CCCCGCACAGCCGAACGCCGGAAACTCAGCCGCCGAACGCGGACGCCCGCCTTTCTTGACGTTTATGCGGAGCACAATTCCCTTCAACCTCCCGTTCTTGCCGCGACAACAGCCACCGCAACAACAGCCGACAGAGACTACGGTCGCGACGGAGATGGAGATAGGTAAAACGGAAACGACAGTGACACAGAGGATTGGACCCAGTGGTACGTCTGGCGAGGGGCACGAGGAGAAGAGATTAAAGATGGGGAGGGTGGAGGAGGCGGAGGAGGAAGAGGAAGGTGGGGAGCAAGGTGATGGGGGTTGGATGAGGAAGAGCAAACGGGTTAAACGTGGACGTGAACTGGGAGAGAGTCGAAGGGGAGAAAGAGGGGAGAGGAAGAGTGATGGTGGACGGCGAGAGAGGGAAGAGGATGAGGATGAGGATAGGGTCATGGGGGATTGGGGGTGTGAGCGGAATGTGGGTGGGGTGGGATGCTCATTCGCTGATGGAACCGCTTGACCTGAGGTATACACAGTAGGATCATGAGATGCATGGCGTTCCGGGCGGTCTGGATCCCGCGTCATCCTCATGTCAGATATGCATAGAACATGGCACCATATAGCGCAGCATACAAATCAACATTTCTTCAGACTGCTTGCCTCTGCGGGCAACCTGTGGACAACCACTCGTCCGAAGTTTTAACGTTCCCGCAGTACTTCCAACCTCGTACCCTTTAAGACTCGTTTGTGAAGGTTTTTTTTTGCTCTGGAACAAAGACAGCTGTGACAAACGATCCAAGATATCGCTTTTATTGTTATACACGGTCGATATATATTCAGTCGAAAGACCATAATAGTTGGGTTACGGGATTCAAAAGCATGCCTACAGTGAGCGACCTGATCGTGCAATCCGCCCAGAACGCACGGAAATGCTCTGAACTCTCATCAGACAACGACGACCTCAAAGAGAAGATCGTGTTCCACAAGCGTAAGCACGACAAATGGAAGACGAGGGCTAAACACCTGGCCCAACAACTCAAGGTGCAGCGTACCGAAGCTACCGCGCAACGTCGTTTCTGCAGCGAACTCCATGGCAAACACCATTCCTGCGACTATCTCACCCATCGTCGTTACTCGCGCGAGTACCAGGCAAGACTGGATGGCATAGTCGCCTTTGAAAATGCAACCCGAAGGACTTCCGAGGAAGAGTTGCTTGAAGAGAAGCGTTGCCGGCGGTTCTATGAGCGCGAATATTGGAAGCTGAGAGAAGAGCAGCGAGGCGCGGACCTTGCAGTTGATCACAAAACGGTTGCACTTGAGGAGGCTGTGGAGCGAGAACGCCGAGAGAAGGAGGAGTTGATGCACGAGTGTGGGAAACTGAAGGAAGAGCGGACGGACGAGAAACACGAGTTTGATCGGAAAATAAACGCGCTCGGGGAGGTTGTGAAACAAGAGCGCCGGGAGAAGGAGGAGTTGGTGCAAGAATGTCGAAAACTGAAGAAAGAATGCGCAGAGCACACCCGCAGCCTAGAACAGGCAAGCATTTGGGGGAAAGCTCTTGTTGAAGAGAGGGTGAGGAATTCAGAGTTACAGCGCGAGAATCGCGATCTGAAGTAGAAACCATCTGACCATTCTGTTTGTTGCCGTCGTCGAGCTTCATGAAGCTCCACGCATCTCCGGTGCGATATGGCTCCATATATGCTCCGTCGAAGTGACTCCGAGCCCCAGGCGGTATGGAGTAGGAACTATGGGGATGAAATTCACCGCCAGCGAGGGGCTGCACTGGGTATTTTGCGAATAGGCTTGGGGAAAGGTGTGTTTTGCTGGATGATGTTCGTCCAAATGGCCGCCGATGGTGGGGGGAAGACCGCTATACCCTTTCTGGCGTGGCACCCCTCAGCCTCAGAATGTCCCCAGCCATTGAAATAGCACAGCCACTCTGGGCGCTCCTGCTTCCGACGCTCTCCCATGCATTTCGCCATCCTCTATTGCTCTGTTGCGTTATAAAACACCTCCCCTTCCTGTATCCCGCTACGTAGACCCCCGCTCTCTAGGCCTAAGTTTGGGCATCACTCATAGTAGGACCGCATCGCATGCACCAAGGCACTTGCAGATGGGCACTGATCTTACATCTCCGTAGGCGGTGACGAAGTGCACCAGGCACAAGAAAGACGCCGGCGCTTCTAAGCAAGCCGTCAGGACACATAACACTGGGATTCCTCAACATAAATGACGCCTCATCCCAGAAGTCTATCTGCTTCGCTCCTCACCGAGTATTCTGCCCAACATCGCCCGACAGGATGGCGGCCAATTAGTCTCAGCGACAGAGAAATGGGATCAGCGACGAAGAAATTCCAATCTACAACACCATGGTATTTCCCGGAAGAGTGGATAGCCCTGAAACGCTATTAGCCCAAACGAGCTCGGAGAACCTCCCCGGAATTGCTAGGATGCGACTTACATGAGTCTATATCCTCATCGACAACCCGCGGCAATGTACAATTCATCGCCTGCTCCGCGGTCTGGGACTTTAGCACGTTGCAGACATCGCCAGTGCAGCGGGCGTCCATGGCGCGTTGAAGAGAGTCGTCTTTCCAGCCAAAGACGTAATCGCCGTGCTGCGAATATCCGTGCCTAGTCAATTTTTTAGCATCGCAGTCCGACTGCTGTCGCACTAGGGAGAGACAGAGACTCACGGGTCGCCGGTGCTCCAAACGAACGGCTGCGAGCCGTCGGCGGGCCATAAGTTCTTGTCGTTGAAGGGTCGAGTCTGTTATACATTTCGTCAGCAAGGGGATTTTCCAACTGAGCTGGACCAAGCCTATGGCAACCTACTAGGCCGTTGTGGCCCAGATTGAGGACCTCGAGTCGATGCACACGACTCACGGCGAAGATCAGGATGACGGAATGATAACACTTACGTCCCACATAACCTCATACATCACTTGAGGTATAATTACGGGATGGCTTGCCGGGCAGCTACCAGTTGGGCCCACATCGTTAGCTTTTGAACCCGTTGCGTAGGCAACATGGCTCGTGTGGTCCGGGCTATCCAGGTTCTTGCCATCCCAACAGGTGGGAAAGGTAATAACCGTGCGTATACCGCCCTCACAGAACGCCTTAGGAAGCTCCTGTGTGTCTGGAGATCCGCAGTTTATGTTGCTAGCATCTCCCGATTTCGGCATGCACCGATGGCATACCTTGCGGTCCGGGCCTTTAGACGTCGATGCGGCGTCTCCAACAAGCATGCGGAAGCCAGGTTTGAAGGCCGTAACCGCTGTTTTGTTAGTCGTCGATGGGATGTAGTACACTGTGATGCCGCCGGTGCCTTTGAGCCCATCGGAAACGAATTGAGGTACGCGCTTGAACGTCCCGTTGCGGGCTCGGAAATACAGAACCGCGGTCCAGTAGTTGGAAAAGTCTTCGGAGAAGGTGCAGCTGGTGCATGTGGAAGCTGAGGGGAGATCGTGTGTTGGGTGCTCCATGGAAGCGTTGAAGGAATTGCCGCCGACGATTTGGTGGAGATGTGGCGAAGGTACTAGGCCGGGATTGACTAGAGGATCCAAACGTTCGACGACGAGCTGCGAGCACTCAAATCGCAGCATAGGCGGGATAGGCACCGAGCCTTGGCCAGAAACATGCTTCGCTAGAAGCGCCAGGGCGAGAGTCTTCCACTGCATGCTGGAAGGAACGGCTGCGACCGTTAGTGAGAAACGAGAGTTCGGAATGGGAGGACGTCGACAAGTTATGCGATAACCTGTATCTTAGATACTAAATACATGGCCCTCCCCCCACTTCTCTAAGCAAGGCGTGTCCTATCTGCGGTTGGGCGGAACATTAATATCAAGTTTATTGGCATATCCAGGTGGGGTTCGGGAGTTGACAATGCATAGATTAACCGAATGCTTTGGCGCTGATGCCTGTAAGAATCATCCATGACGCGAAGCTCCTATTGGCCGTATTGATAAACATTCCATGGTTGCTGGGTTCAGCCCGAAAGGGTGTAGTAATACGTTTTCAATTTGAAAATGTGGAGGGTAGAGATCGCCGACACGACTCGCCAGTTCGAGCACCTTGCGTAGTTGGGGCCTTAATTTCAATCTTCTTGCAGTGTCGTAGTGTGGAAAGGCCCTTGGATTTCGTACTTGGAGGTACTTTCCGAGTGATCTCTGAGATGCCGACAGGCGGTTTCTCGACTGGCCTTAACCGCTTGGCACGCCAATCTCCCGAAGAGTCTAGAATGCTTCTTTGGGGCGTCTCTGACGGTGATCATTGCTGGAAGGCGATCATGCTTTGTGTTTAGATTCGTCAGTGTTGCTACCTTAAAGCAAGTTAAACTAGTTCTCCACGTTCTAGGAGCTCCATTGCCTCACCTCTTAGAGGCCCTTCGATTGAACAACGTCCCACGTACAGGAAACGATCCCCAGAAGGCCTTGATAGTACTGGCATCATACAGTCCTTAATCAAGCATAGCAGATCGTCAGGTCTCGTCCTTGGCGGACAAAACCCAAGGTATTCATTCACTGTTTGATCAGGGAAAATTGTTCGAGCACGGTGGGAACTTCGACGTACCCTGACAGCGAGCCAAGCCAGTCGTGCTCACAGAGCTCTCTTAATACACTTTCAGAAGCTGCTAGGAGAGGAAAGTTTGCTGGAAGCAGAGCCTTCGAAACGCTCGACTGGCACCAAGTCAAGAAGTTGTGGAGGAGCAGAAGAAGACGAATATCCGCCCGGTTTTCGCAAGAGGTGGGTCGGTTATCGGCAGCCCGAGCAAGAAATGCGGCTATATTCCGAAAGGTATGCATATCGATGTATGGAGCCGCATACTTGAAAAATACCCTCACGAAGGCCTGACCAAGGGAATTTTAGAGAGGCGTCACGCATCCTCGGACGTGAATCTCGGTACGAGCCGACGGAAAGCCCTGTTCCCGAAATAGTCGTCGACGCATTCCATCTTCGGGTATACCGAGGACACAGCATCGATCGCAGTTCCAGCGATCTTTAGTTCTCACATATCTGGACTCAGTTCCCGGAAGGCCTGCGTATATGCGTCTAAAGGCTTGGGCATGGGCGTCCAGGCCCGTCACGGATGGTGTTAATAGCTGAAAAATACACTTTTTCAGCCCTCCAAGGTCCTCCATGTTGGACATGGCCCGATATGAGCTCCTGGTCGAGCGCTGCCGTGTTCAATTATTCTCAAAGATCCCCTTGTGCTGCCCAAACCGCTGGCGTCCTGCCCGCCGAGCTCTTCAAACCCTCCTGATCCTCGAGAAAAAGAGTCCTCTCTGGCCGGTATGCAGTTATCTCACGCGCTGTCCACGAACCTATGGCTAGAAGAAATGAGGCGCTGAGGTGGACTCCCGGACGCTCCCCAAGTTTATCCGGAACCCGGTAACCCTTGTGGTCGGTGAGAGGGCGGCCACGCTGATGGCTGTGTGCGGAAACGTCTCTACCTCGTTGTCAAACGTAACGACCCCCTGCATCAAGCTGATGACAAGCATCTGCTGTGCGCAGCTCGTCTTTCCACTGTTCCGTGCTCTTGCACACAGCCCAGCAAGAAGCGCGTCCCCGGCGAGGATCTCGCCGCCATCGCCAGTTCCATTCATCTGCTCGTACCCGTGGCCACAGGACGTCTCTCGCTCATGGCGTGTGAAAGTACAACCATGTATCCCCTCCGCACGAGGCCGAGCCAGAGCCCGCATCTGGGCATACCGCGAAAGGATGGCTTGCCACAAGAGAGGGCATTCTTGAGAGCTGGCGAGTGTGCGTGGAAGCTCGATGTCTGCAATCGCTTGGGATACCCCCTCTACTCATCCCAGCACGCGTTTGTCGGGCCGAAAAGCCACCCTGAGCACTGGGAAATGTCCGGTGAGGCTCGACGGGGACGAATGAGGTCAAACGTTGGGTGAAGGAGTGACCTTAGGCCCAGTCTTCAAGGGGTAACAGGGGGACGCATCCGAGTCGATTATTCGCTTCTACCGGCAGAAGTTTACCAGATTTTCGTGAAACTATGCCTACAAGATATTCCGTCCAGCCTCAATTTTATGGCATTCACTGGCATAGGGTTCGCCGATATACTACCTGGCTGGTCATCTTGGGCTCCAAATTTCGACGGTTTCGACGCTACGTGCCTCATATCAGAAGCCGATCAAGGAGAACTCAGAGGCTTAAGCAAGCATCCTGCCCAGCTTAGTATGCGCCCGAGGAAGACACCGTGGCGTGCGCTTTCTCGAAGATTTGCTCCTAGGGTACGTCTGCTGGATGGTGGCGGCGACCATCCAAGGGGCCGGTCATGGCCCGCCAATAGAGCCGAGAAACGGAGAAGTGCGTACGTCTCCGCATCTGCGGAATTCCTAGGTCCATTGGGACGCGGATCCCAGTCCATCGGCAGGGAGCACGATGTCTGCCCGCCGAAGGCGCTCCAGCGTAGTTCTCCACAGCCGCGAGATGGCCGACTCTTCTCGACCGGATTATGGTGAGGGCAGGGCAGGTGAAGAAGGACACGTTGCCCGTCGTGGAGCCCAAGCTTCGAGACCAACGCGGGGGGAGGCTTGCGTTGTGCCCGTCCGCCTCGGGCGCATGACGAACGTGCTCTCTCTCGACTGTATGTCTTTAGGGTAGGATGATACGTAGACGATATAGATGATGACGAAGACGACGAAGTGGCTGCCTAGCGAAACTCGCTAAGCGCGAACAGCTCCAACACGGGAAGCAAAGCTTTGGTGGTCTGGAAGATGAAGGCGGAAGTACTCAATGTCTAGCGCACGTAGTCCGCATCAGTAGCATTTGTCAAGCGGTCCGGCGTGGTGAGGTGGGCAGATAAGCATGATGGTGACGTCGCCCTCGGGTAGCTATCCCAGTGAGGCTTAGCTCCTTAACGTGCCGATCATATATATACAGTGGACCCGACACTTAGTAGTCACGTGAAATAAGCACGTGACCTAACACAGAGGTTGATTCTCCAAGGTAGAATGCCAACAACATGAAGCCTGCTATCCGCCCCAACCGCATGATTTCCAGCAACCCTAGCGTAAGTGCAGGTTAATTTACAGTGTTGTAGGGCCGAGTACCGCGCAATATGGGCGACATTTAGTCGGCTTCACGGGCCGAAGTTCGGAGTGCGAGTGTTCGATTTAGTGTAGCGGGATTACCACCATCATGACTCTACCCCGGGGGGCATGTAGCGGGTTTGATGGCCCAACGAATCCGTAAGATCGTGATCTGTGGTGCGGAGAATTGTTCGTACCATGGTTTGGCTAAAAAAAAATAAAGCCCGAAGAGTATAAAGGTAGCAGCTTCCCCCAAATACAACCGTCTGCATCCTTCGCGTCTTGCTCTTTGGACTGGTCACCCCCGAACAAGTCGCAAAGCATACGCCACAACCATGTCCTCCTTACAGCAGCAGACTGCATCCGCACCCACGCCCGCACCCGCACCCGCATCCTCACCTGCACCCCAAAGCATCGTCGACAAACCTACCTCCCCAGTTTCCACCCACGTACCCGCGACCCCGCCCGAGAAGCCAAAAGTGTTCGCCAAGCCAACACAAGAGTATGCCGAATACCAAGCATGGGTTAACGCTGGGGGTCTCGACAAGTTTGCAAAGGATAATAGTCTAGAGCCAGACTTTTTGTCCCATTTGTGCAGCCTCCCACCCGCGACAACGAGCGCGTATATTTTAGCAGTACACCAAATCCCCGGCATGTCAGATGCCATCGCAGCACACCAGCGGCTGTGGACCGGGTCTTCATTCGAGCAGGGTCTGCAGGATATTGCTGCGGCATACGGTGACTACGACAGCTCGTGCTCTGAGTCTGAGGATGAGACGTCGAAGCATGAAGATTCCGAGCAAACAGGATTATGCGAGAATCAGGGCGAGGGTCCGGAATGCGCTCTAGTCTTGATTGATGCATGAGCACATCCCTCGTCTTTCAGCGGCGAGATCCTTCCAGCACGGATATCGCCTCCGAATTCACATGATTTCAACCAATAATTTGTTGGATTTCTCATCGAGCCTGTTTTCACCTTTTGAGAGACTCCGCATATGCTTCCGTCCGGCTTCCACCTCTTTCATTAGCCTCCTCTATTGCCTCCACGGCTTGTTGCAGTATGCCTTCTGGAACCGCCAGGCAATTCCACTGGTAATCACGAATCTACCTCGTCTCAAGCCGTCAAAGTGACCAGCAGCTCCCATTCCAAGCATCCCAATCCGGACGATCAAGGCGATGCGCATTGGTGTTTGTGTTCGAAAACTCAACGGCATGAGGTTCAACTTGTACGAAGTCAGCCTCTTATTCTCAATTCCTACCCATCTCAGCGCAAAGCTAATCGCTGCTCGACCCAGTCCCACCATCACCCGCGCTTGGCCCCCCCTTGTTCTTAACCCTAACCCTCCTTCAGCCCTCAACCCGTCCCGTTTTCGGCTCCCGAAATACGACAAACACCAGAATCAACACGCCAACCAGCACTACTCCCCCTCCCACCAGATCCTGCACCAGTGAATGCACCCACAGATTCTTCGCCGCCCTCCTCTGCTCCCGCACAAGCTGATACAGATCCTGCGTTATCTCGCCGACGTCGAGCTTCAGGTCTGCCAGCTCTTCCTTGAGCGAAATTATGTGGCGCCGGTAAAGAGCAGAGTGCCTCTCCAAACGCGAGACGCGGTCGACCGTGTACTCCGGGATTGGGGAATTGCTGCGGCGGCGGCGGCGAACGGGTTGGGCTTCTTGACTATCAGCGAACCGGATCGGTGTCCCGGCTGATCTAACGCCTCCAGTCGCTTCACGCTGTGGGGCCCGAGGGACTGGAGCTGGTTCCTCGTTGCGGGCGCTCCGGCGTGGAGCCATGGTGCAATGGGAAAGCGCGTTGGCGTCGAAGAGTTGGACCGAGTTTTGCAGGCCTTGATGACTGGCTCGAGGAACAGCGAGCGGATGGTTATTCGGGATAAGGAAGCCCATGGGAAACGGATGCAGTTATCCTTCGAAGAATGGCAGACCGCTTGGCGGTGCGCTAGAGAGACAAAGAAGCTGTGAGCTCAAAGGAAAGATGACGGTTGCGGAAGGCGGGGTTGAACTGTGCCGAGAGAACAAAGAAATGGACTGGTTTTGCAGGTGTCAACTCTCGTACGTCCGCCTTCTCACGCGCTTCGAAATTAGGAACGTGGTTGTCTGGCGCTTCGACAGTGCCGTAGCGGGATCCAGTGGAAGTGTAAATTCCGAGATGGCTCGTCCGGGAGCTAAGAGACGAAAGTCGCAAGGTAAATGCCCGGCTGATCGAACAGTCCTGGGCGGCAGACTTGTAAGTTTTCGTCGTCGTCGTCGTCGTCGTCGTCGTCGTCGCAGGAGGAGCACTTGCGGAGCGCGAATAGCCGCAATACGGCTTTCGCATCCATTCTCGCAGACACCACGCACTTTCTGCCGAAACTTGCGAATGACATCGTTCCATTGTGCTACAGAATGAAGGAAAAAGAGGTAGTTGGGTAGGTCTTGGCTGCAGCTTGACTGCAATCTTGAGTTTCTAATGTGGACATGCCAAGCTAGGATCTCATCCTCATCAACTCCCTATGGAAGCATCGGGCTGCGACATTTTGACTTCCAGATTCAACAGCTACTCAACGAATTATGCGCTGTCCCCTCTCGTTTTGTCTAACTGCTCAGGTCATCGAATTTCTCGAGCAATGCCCTGAGCCAGATACCCGCTTTGAGACCGCCCTTCTCATTTACCATCTCCGTCATATCTTCCTCCGTGTCGGTGACTCCATCTCCAACCAGTCCCTCTGCAATGCGCTGGAGCACCTTCTCACACCACTCTTCCTCTTGCTTTGTGACGACCCGAACCCTGTACTGCTGAGCCAGTATGACGCACAGCGTATCGCACAGCTGTGATACCATGCGATCGTGCACTGTGATACGATCGAGGGCGTGGGAAAGCGCGGATCCGTACGTCTTCAGCAAAGTCTTGGGCTCAACAGCAGCGATGGAGTGCTGATCAAGTGTAGCCAAGGTTTGCCGAAGTTGCGTTTGGAGCGGGTCAGAGGACGAGAGTAGTAGCAAGGAAGACGCGAGTAGGGGCCGACCAAAGATGAGCTGGCGCGCTGTCGTGTCCTGCTTGTAAAGGGCAGAATCCGGGCCGGATGAAGAGGAGGGAAGCTCGAGCAACCCGTGAGTTCGGCGGAAGTCACTGTCGAGGTCGAAGCTTCTCTGTGGAAGCGGCCGCTACTGAAGAGGATGCTACGGGGGCAGGTGGAGCTAAGGGGAATGCCGCGCCGACGGATACTGTCTTGGATGTCTCGTCCGTGAATGCAGTGTCTGCATGGTTAGTCTGTGCAAAGGGAAGAAGGCATGGCGCTCACTTACGGTCTGCAGACTTCCGCGCCAATTGGCTCATCACGTCACCCCGGAGCAGGTCTGCGATGACAGAGTCGTTCTCGGTGTCATCTACATCCTCGATACCCCCCTTCTTCCGTTCCCGACCAGCCGCAGTACCCTCCGCAACATTCTCAATTTTCACAATCGTCTTGCTGCTTCCCAGAGCCACTGCCGACGACGGACGCACAAACCGCACCCTCTTCTGAGCTTCATCGGGGCTCTTCGTACTACCTAGATGAGGACTTGCGCTCGCGCTCTTAAAGTCATCGCGTTGTTCCCGATGGACACGGTTACTGCAGCGCGACATGACGTATTTGTTGCCATTCATGGCGGGATAGATGGCACCATGACGACATTGTGTGCCGTCAGGCTCGGTGGCGAGGCAGCGCTGGGGCATAATGTACAGGCGTCCAGGAAACGAGCGACGTGCTTGAAGCGAAGGACGGTCACTTGTGAAGGAGAATCGAGAGGAGACGAACTGTCAAAGCAGTTTCAGAGAACTTTGGCTCGACCGATTCGAAAACCGCGCAGGTGCGGCTCGCCGGCTTAAAGTGTTGCCTATACTGAACTCCCGCTTTGTCACTCGCTGAGCCGCTGTCCCTTCTTACTGCGAGAGGGATTCCCGCATGTGGGGCAGGAAAGCTACATTCGCTGCCCGATACGCTTCTAAAGCCCCAGGGCCAAGAAGTGAGACCAGTCTAGAGGCAAGGACACGGCACGAGGATGATGGCATCGTAAGGGCACACTCGTGGCTTGGTGCCTTCTCCAATCGGAATCGCTCAAGAGCTTGATGCCTTACGGGCTTTGGCTTTCCATGGATCAGGGAAGCTGGGGCACATCTTCACGGATCATACTGTAACGTGCCGTCAATGGGGCCTCTAGTATTGCTTCTCAATTGAGTGACAAGCATTGCGTCACTCTCGCCAACGCACGAGGCGAAAAGACGCTGGAGTTTGGACGCCTGGAAGGGATCGCTCCATTTACCCGCATACCCTCCCCACGTACTACCGCCGTACAGAATGATCGAAACGGGTTACGGTAGAGTCGTTCCCGCATCCGTCTCCCTCAAGGCTACGATGACAGAAATGACATCGCAACGCCGCTAGAGATTGGCATGCGCTCTCGTCCGCAACGTTACACAGCATCGACCGAAATTGAAGATGAGGCTGGATGGCCTCACCGCCAGTGCATATGTGCATCATCCTGATGGCCCCACGCTTTCTCACACCCGCGGAACGTGGTATCCCGCCGCTATAGGTTAATCCCCGTCTGCACTCCGCCACATACTGTATGTTGCGCAACCGGGGGAAGCACAGAAGGCGGCCCTTTACTTCGTAAGGCCAAGGCTCGCTGACGGCCCGGAAGCACCTTGACGGGGAGGAGGGGGCAGGTTTCAGAGTCCTTTGTCCTGTGTCGTTACTTTTTTTCTGGAGCTGATTGCAAGCTCCCAAGGATGCCTGATTCTCAGAAGCTCCGAAACGCTTTCGACTGGCTTCTTGTGGCTTCATTCCCGTCCTGTCCCAAAATCTGCGGGATCCCGTTTTGCCTACGCACCTACCAATCCTGCTCTCATTCGTTGCGAAAGGGACTTCGTCTGTCACATATACAGACTGCCCCCCGTGGTTTTTCTTTCCCTCAAGGCGCCTCGTCTCGCCTAGATGTTCTCTTGCCTAATTTGGTGTGATTCACGTGATCTACTCTTTTTAGTTCCTATTTTCACCCGTTTCTCCTCCACTTACTCCTTCCCTTCGCTCATCCGCTGAGAAGGTGTATAATCTCTCAACATCTCATATATCTTCTCGCTGGCTGCTCACTCTTCCATCAACTTGTCCATGGTTCAAGTTATACTTGCTGCCTCGTTCGTTGCTCAATCAAGCATCATCCGTTAGTCCTCCTCTCTTGCATTCAAAATCAGGCTGACAACGTGCGTTTCGAAGATCCTGAAGAGCATGGCACGCTGTCGTGCTCCCAAGAGCTCCGGCCCCGATCGCGGTCGCCGCTGCCGGAGTGGTGCCAATTATCATCGCCCCGGTCAGTCTTCCGGGAAATTCACGCGATGTCATAGGCATCGCCCGGACGAACTAGACTAGGACGAGGTTCCACAGGATCAGACCCTAAATCCCCGCCGTTCCGCCACGCCCACCCGCCGCAGCGATGCTCGCAGTGTCACTCCAGGAGGAGGAGGAGGAGGTAGGTCGCGGTCGACAAGTGTTGTGTGGAAGAGTGTCGAGAGCAACGAAGGGGTGGAGGGGGCAAATGATTCCTGGAGTGGCTCTGACGAAGAGGAGGATGATGAGCAAGGGAAGGAGACCGATGACGATGAGACGACGACGTACTCGGAGCCCGAATTGGTACGAGCCTATCGCGGCCCTACGCCAGCGCCGATTTCCTCGCGTACAAGGAGCCAATCCCGCAGCCGCTCGGCCTCCGAAAGCCGTGCTCGTTCAGTCTCTGCTACCCGTCAGCAACCAACCAGTCGTTCACACTCACGTTCCCGTACGAACACTCCCCGAAGCCCCACACCAGCACCATCTGGCTTTCGTCGTGGCCGTATGCCCAACGTGGACGTTCGAGCATCCACGCCGGAGCGGCAATTTCTTTCCACGCCGACCAAGACGCAAGAAGAGACGTACGGCCGCCAGTTGACGGCGCAGATGCGTCAGCTGACTGCCGAAAGTATTCCCATCCGCCAGCAGGCTAGCTATCTACGCCGCAACAGCAGCAGCAACACCAACAGCCCCGACAGGGAGTTAAGCAGCGACTATGTCCGTGCCACGGCCGATGACTTGACCATGGCAAGGCTGAGTCTGCATGAGCACGCCTTGGGCTACGCCAGCCAGACCATCTCTGGCATGCATCAGGTGATTCAAAACCAGGTTGGCAGGATTTCTGACCACGACCAACGCCTCGATCAACACACACGAGACATCGTCGGCGTTGATAGGGATGTGCGCAGCCAGAAGGACAGGCTGGATCGCGCGGAGACGGAGTCTGCCGGGCTCAGAGAGGATGTCGACAATCACGCTTTACGGATCCAACTACTGGAGGACTTGGGAAGACGCGGTCAAGGCAGGACTGTCAGGGATGTCTGACAGGCTGTCGATGGAACAACAACGACATGAGGAGGTCCGGGACGATTGATCGTGGGAGTGTTGCATTGCGGTATATCTGTGAGCTTCTTGGTCGCCGCGATGGCTACATCGTGACCCATTGATTTCCTTCCCATTACCTCTTAATTGCGCTCTGGTTTCCTTTTTAATGATCTTTTGGTTGGGATAGGGTGGAGAGTAGCGTGGAGGAAATGGCGTGGTCACTACCTTCTTCCTTGATTGGATCTTCTTCCCTTACGTCTTGATTGATGGATTGACTTTTCTCTTTTTAAGTCACCAACCTATAGAGGTTATGGTGACTATTCTTTATATCTTGTCCCTCCGGATCTTCTTCTTCCAAGTCCCCATAGCTTACACCCTTCCCTTAGGAGTGAAATTGAGCTTGAAAAAGAGTGCAGATGAGTGAAATACCGCGCACGCAGGTAGATTCGAAGGGGTTTAGGATAGAAAGTCAACGTGCAACTCTAACTCTCTGCGCCGGCCTGCCGCACCGCATGTACTCCGCTACTCCTCACAGCACAAGCATAGCGCAGAACCCCAGACCGACATTTTTATAATTTGAATCTCGGCCAAATTAGCACTCTCGCAGAATAAAATTCCTACGATTCGAATCTTCCTTCGAGATAACTCGGTGAGATGCCGGCGCGACCTCGCATGCTCTCGCCGAACATGTATTTCCCTGCGATTAATGGAGCTCTTAGTCCGGAGTGGTAAGGCGGGTTCGCGAGCTTGCTACTTTCGGGGGTTAGCTAGCCACCCCTCGAGAACTGGGACGGGAGCCAGCTAGGATCAGATCGACTGCAAAGTCGAAGGCGAAGGAAGACTAGGAAGATCAGGGCACTGTATTTCCAACGAGGCGACTGCACTGGGTGGGACGTAGGACAGAAAATAAAAATGGGTCGGAGGCTAGAACCAGGCCGGGATCGCTGCGAAGGCGAAGACCGGCAAAGGGAGATAATAGAGCTGTTCTTCCACCTAGACGACTGCACTGGATGTGGGAGTGAAAAGAAAAATAGACCAGAGGCTGAAACTAGAACCTGATCGGATTAGCTGCGAAGGCGTAGGCGAAGAAAGACCAGAAGAGGAAGAGACGGTAACGCTGTTCTTTCGACGAGACGACTGGGCCGGGCCGGGCTGGGCTGGGCTAGGCTAGGCTGTCTCGAGCCAGTTAGGACGAACGAAGCTCCGCGGGATATGCGCTACGTGGATCGAGCTGAGATGATGGTGGTGCAAGAGTTAGCGAGTGCGAATGGTTGATGCGTTTTTGGATGGGAGGATTGATCACAAGTATACACGAAGATATTGCGGAATAGATAGAAGGACTGGGTTCTGAAACTAGACGGAGATGTATGCAGCGAAACGCTTCACAAACTCGAAGACAACAACGCAACTCAGCAAAGGGATAGAGAGGTTGGGAGGAAAGGAACGCAGGACACATGCCTGCGGACCATTGGTCGCTAGCTCCACCTACCGTCAACCGCGCTCCATGCCCACCTCAGCCATCTGCACGTTCGCCGCCGTCGAACAGATCGCTTGTCCGCACCTTTGCGGCCCGCAAACATATCTTGATCTCCCTCTTGCAAGCTGGACCATGGACCGTCAAACCCCAGCGATGGATCTCGTTGATCCAGTGAATGAGCTTCTCCGTATCGGCCGCTAAGCTGGAACAGTCCCCCGTCTGCAGCCGCTCCATAGTGCATCCCACCCACTCGCCCTCGTTGCACTGCGGCTTCAACACCCAGGCGGTGTAACTGCTTCCGGCGAGTGTCATCCCAAAATGACGGACTTCATCAATGGGGGTCGGGCTCCAGGACTGGCCTTTGGCTTTGCCGGGTCTTTTCGCTTTCCTGGCTTCGACGACGTCATTGTCTGCAAGTGCCCGGCGCCAGAGCAAGAACCGGTTGTACAAAGCGATCGATCCAGCCGCTGCGACCTGCTTCATCGCAGGCGTAACAGCACCCGTCTTCTCTTCGTCATCGTCGCGCTTGAACTCGATGGTGAAGTAGGGGCATGTGATGTTGCCCTTCACGTACGTGATGTTCTGTACCTCAGACTGCCATTTTTCATTGAACCCTCGGAGCGATATCCAGTAGGAGCAGTCCGGACGCACATCCCATCTCCAGTTGTGTACTTCGTTGTCCGCCTCGTCGAGACACGGCGGCTTTCGCCAGTGGGACGGATCGTTGACCGGGAGCGAAGGGTTGACCATGCGTTGGATGCGGAATTGTTCGTCTTTCCTGATAGGATCAGCACGGCGTACCCCTTTGAGCAGCTCCTCCTTCGCAAACGTCGCGAACTCGGCTTCGACCAAGCGTTGTCGCACCATCTCCTTATACTCGGCGGTGATTTCCTCGCAATTCGCCTCGCTTGCATCCACCCAAATCTTGATATGGTCCAGACCTTCGAGGCGCTTGTAGTCGGTGTCGATAACTGTGTCACCGTCGCCATCGCTGTCGCTGTCTGTGCCAGTGTCGCAAACCGTGCCGAAATATTTGTGTGCTCCACTGCTCACCGTCTTGATCGGATTGACAGCAATGTGGTGGGGCGCCATGACGACGCTTTCGAATAGGACGTCGCGCGGGCCGGGCATGGTATTCAGCTTCTTCCTCTTTGAGCGGCTGGTCGTCTTTGATATGGCAGATGCGGTCTCGGCGGTTTCGAACGTCTCGGTGGTAGAGGGTGTGGGCATGACGGTGGACGGTGCGGAGACGGGAATCTCTCCAGCGTTGACATCTTCATCGTTGGTGGCCTTCTTCTTCCCCTTCTGAGACCTCGTCTGTCTTGACCCGGTACTCATAGCTCGCACGGCTGTCCAGAGTTCTTGGATGTATTCGGCGTCGGTTGCAGGCGCGGCCGTCGAGAAATGAGGCAGATAGCAGGAGGGGCTTATCGGAGAAGCGGTGTCTGCCACATGGTCGGTGTCCCAGCCTGCTCCGTGGTCGCACGTCCAGCCATCTTGGATCGGCCGGTGTGTCGCGTGTTCCGGCTCGCTCGAGATTGAGGCTTCGTCGCCGATTCGACGCGGCGGCCTTCCTAGAGAGTGTTGTGCCTTGCCCGCAATGTCAATTCCCCGACGAACTGTTTGACGGTTTGCATGTACAGTGTCTCCAAAGCGTCTCGTCCGTGTGGGCCGAAGAGGGCGGGGCCGGGGTGCTGCGCGGTTGCTTCGTCGAGGGTGGCTTGCGGTTGGGAGAGGCTGGGAAGCGACGGCTGGTGAAGGGTTGCACGAAGAAGGGGTCGATTTGCGCATTACGTTTGGCGGATAATTGTGCGGGCACAGTGCAGCGACCTTTGTTGTAGCGGTAATGTGAGGCTGGCGTTCGTGGTCGTGGTGAGAGTCCGTTAGGGGTGGATTGTTTTGGTGTTGTTGTTGATGTTGTGGTCTTGGCAGATCGACGGCAACGCCCGAGGTCCAAAGATAAGATAAGAGCGATCTCCGAGCGGCCCCGACTATCTCGGGACGGACACTGAGCAACCCCGCAACGCAGCAACTTTCCGTAGGCGTGCCAAGATGGCGAGAATACTTTCCACCCTCATCGATGCATAGGCGCATCCACCATCTGGAAGAGCATTACGCCACGTTCAGCATCGGCGACGAACGGGCAGAAATGGCCAATTAGCCCGCGCAAGCGCGCCATCGAAGGCGTCAAGGACGACGATATGTGGCACATAGTCTGCAGCGACATCAAGGCAGGCAATCAAGAGGAACTGCACTTCAAGAAGCTGGTACACTCGCAGATTGACCGAAACTCGGCGAGGGCATCACCAAGATCGCACACTTCTCGGGTAATGAACGCGCAGGTCTGTTTCGACCACATGAGCGGAAGAGCCGTGGCAGCAAGGCCGCCGAGAGGTCGAGCCGTACGAAGGAGATACTGATTAAAAATTTGAGGTTGGCAGGCTTGTATCACGCAGAGGGACGTCATGCGCAGTCGGCGAAACCGGCAGACGACAAGGACGGTTTCGACCACTGGGGCGAGGGCAGCTTCGGCATCCGTTTCGGCAGCCGGTGTGGTAGGACGCTCCTCTGGTGTGGAAGTCTCGGAAAGGACAACTGGAGGAGCAGGAGCGTCTGGAGGCGCCACGAGATCTGGAAGAGATTCGTCATTAGGGAGCCGCACATTGGCGCAAATGATACAACTCCCAGAGGAGCCCCTCGCTATCGAGGACGAAACAGAAGCTGAGGGACCAGGCAGTGACTACGGTGATTCTGAGAGATCGGGCCACTATGGCGTCGGCTGGTAACGCGCTTATTCCCCTGTAGTAGCCGGATAAGGAGACCGGTGTTGGCCGCATGCTAACGACGCAGATTCTGCCGCCGGGTGACCCTCTGATAACGCAGCTGCTACTACAGGGGAAGAGGAGGGCATGAAAACAGCCCTATATATACATGCGAACCGCGAGAGTCAAGTAGCGTAAACGATGCAAGCGATAGATCGCAATTCACAACAACCGGCCTGGGCGCGGAGGGCGCCACGTTGGTGGTGGCTGCTAGCTATGGCAATATGAAGAGTCAAACGCCCCATCTTCCGCTTGGATCGAGAGGCGTTGGGTGTCGCAGCCGGTGGAGATTGGGGAGGGGTCGACGATTATTGCGGAATTGGATAGTAAGGAGATCGCGAGGATACGGGGAGCCTGGCGTTGAGGATTGTGGATGGTACGATTAAGGCAAGGTAGCCGGGGACTTTGTTGGTGTAGACGGCGATGAAGGCTACGGTGAAGATGGAGCCGAAAGTTGTGCTGGAGCCGAAAGTTGTGCTGGAGGCGAAGCATCGGTCTTGCCTCTCCTAAACGGTGAATCCGTCGGTCGCAACGTATTGCTTTTGACCGTTCGATAGCTCCCTCCTGTGCGGGTACAGCGCGCCGAATCGCCAACATGGAAACCTCACAGCCTGTTCCGTCGGCCATCAAGAGCGTGGAATTACACTGGAAGTGATTTTTGCGTGCCTCTTTTGGGGAACCAACGACATGTCTTCCACGAACAGCGCTGTGCTAGTCGGACGGATCCGAGCATCACGCATACGACCACTGTCCTCAAACGCGGGATGGTTGAAATCAAGGGTTAATTTTCGCACAATGTCATCACAACACCATCTCCACTGGTCTGTAATGAGAGGGGTCGGAGCCTTCGTTTTCCAGAGACAACGTGGAAACCGAACGAAAAGAAAACCACTAAATCCGCCGTCATCAGCCAAATCCATCCAAAATGTTGGCAAGTCATGTGCTGCCGCCAACTCTTCAGGTCCCGCCCCCTCCAGCACCTCCCGTCGCGACGTTCTTCAACATTTCCAGGAGATACGGCAATACAGAGTGGCTCCTGCTCGAGAGTTCGTCAGTTGAGGGTTGTTAATTTTGAAAGGGTTGATGCAGGAACGAGACGGGAGGTTTACGGCGGCTGTCCTTGTCGGCCCGTCAAACCCGGCTACATTGGCGGTAATGGGCGGCGGTGACAGCGTATTTGGCTCCATCTCTACGGATGGCAGGAAGGAAAAATGAAGAGTTGGATGAGGCGATCCAAGCGCATTCAGGAAAACGTTTTCCAAAGCTCAAGTTCGGAGCTTCTTCTACCGATCAGTGATCGCTGACAGGAGAACATAAGATTCACTGAGCGCCGGAATCGGCGGACCGACCCGCTAGAACAGTGACGTCGGTCTAGAATCCATCCCGCCGACTGTCGAAGAGTTCCGTCGTCGAACGCGCGAGTCACCTCTTCTACCGGCCGCACCGCAGGTGTTTGGAGTTACATCCGCCCACGCCCATTGCAGGGTCCTAAAAAGGTACATTGTCCCGAGTGTTCGGTCTGAGGCCCAGAACGAAGTCACGCGCGAGGCCGGTGACTGTGGGAGCTATGGGGTTGCCCTAAGAAACCCGCCCTGCCCCTTGATATGCGGACTTCCGCCCTTCTCCTCAACACTCCGCTCTGATTACGGAATTCATTTCAATCGCTGGATTCGTAAGGTTTCCGGCTTGCTACAAGCGCTCATCTCGGGACGAGAACCTTGACACGGCGAAACGCTCCGTGAGAAAAGGAAGGGGGTTTAAAGGATTCCGGGCCCCGTTTCTTCCCACCCTCGGCATGTGAATGACACGAGAGCATTTGGCGCCTAGGGGAAAGAAAAGGCCCACGCGTCCGTCGTAAGGAATCCACGGGGCGTGGAAGCCGGTAGCGTCCGGCCAGCACCAACTCATGTAAAAGGACCGGATAGGGCGAGGTGAAGTGTCTGTACGAAAAGGGGTTAGCCCCATCCAGCCTTGGGCAGCGCTTCATAGCATGGCTCTCTAGCGGAGGGCACTGGAAGTCCTGCGGCGGATGCAACGGTAAAGCCACAATGACATGACGCCGAATCTACCGGGCACATAGCGCACGTATCTGAACTTTCGCAGCCCGATGACCTCTCTACTGACGAGGAGAACTGCACCTGAAGGGTCGTCTGCGGGGGCACAGGGGTGGAAGCTGTGGGCCCGGCCGGCTGACGGCGTAGGGTGCGAGAAAATGATTGTGTCGCGGTCAGCTGCGGGCTATGTCAACACTGCGACGTCGGATCCTCAGGATACCAAGTACGTGAGCACTGGATCGTGACAGCGTGGTCCGCAAGGGGACGGGAATTGAAGGCCAGAAGTATGTGTGACCTTGAACAGCCCGCGCCAGGCGGCCAAAACTCAGTGCCATACTTCTTCGCGCTTGGGCATGAGAGAAGCGGCTCACGGAGCATGGTTTCTAGCTCTGCATATTAGAAGACCACGAAATGCTTCGGCGGCGCGATCAGATCCAGCAGGCCGACATGTGGAGGATAGACCTGATGTATCAGCAAGAGTGATGGTGAATCCACTTAGACCGGGGTATACGTAGTGAGTCGCTGCTTTCTCCCCTAGCCCTAGCTGCACAACCCCTCCCCATCTTTCTTTCTTCATAACTTTCCTATTGATATCTTCCGCCTCGGCTACCTGTTGTCCTACTGCTCATTAATTTACTGTAGTTGCAGGCGGAAAGTAGGTTAATTCATATTGTATAATTGGTTGAATTGTGTCTTTTAAGGTCATATAACCAGCTAACGCTCAAGGGTGGCGAGGGGGAAAACTTTGCCCTGCAACCACGGTAGCTACCAAGGCGCCGAGTCGGCTGGTCTATGCATTCCGCCACCCGCATTGTTGCAGCACATCACCTTTGTCGAGTATGCTGCTATCTACGTATATAATCGCTTCAAAACCTCTCAATATCAGCAAACAAACTTTCCAGCAACTCGGTCGAGCTAGTTGAGACCAATCTGTGGGCCTAAACCGTAAGCTTAAGCCCTTTCCTACATTCTTAATGGAGCTAATCGGGCAGAATTTGCGAAACCTGAAGTAACGACGCACAATATCCACAATGGCCAAGCGTCACACAATGTCCAGGCAGGACGAGGCCCACATCATCCACTACATCAAACAAATCTCCGCGAACTCATGGCTCATTGGAGACTGGATCCTCACTCGGAGCTCGCCGCCTCTGCCCTCGACCTCGGAGTACCCGAGCTGGATTGACGAGGCTGATAATGCATCCTATGCCTTCACCTCCTGCTCGGCACCCCGTTCTCCTCCACCCACGACCACACTCGACACCGCCCACATCAAGCTTATCTACGACTGCTCTAACTTCTCTGCAGTCTTCTCCATCGGCACTAAAGTCATGTGCAAGATCAGCGTTTTCAATCCCTCGTCCTCCGACGCCTCCGCGGACATAACCCACGAAGCGGACACGCTGTCGTACGTCTGCTCTAAACAGCCCAACTCGTTTACAACACCCCGCGTCATCCACTCCTTTAACACCGCCGAGAACTATGCCGTGCTTATTATGACTCGCGTGGCTGGGCGCACGCTTGCTTCCATGTGGAAGGAGATGAGCGAGGGTGCGCGTGAGGCCTGCGCTAAAGCTGTTGTGGCCGCAATTGAGGAGATGATGGGGTGGGAGTCAGATTTCCTGGGGGGCGTGAACGGAAAAGGAATTCAGGAACCCTTTCTTGTGCGCGGGTCATCACTCGGGCGGGACGACTCTATGTACAATCCACTCGCCATGCATAAGTTTTGCGAGCAGGTCGGCATGGGAATGCAGCCGCCATTCGTCTTCTACCATGCCGATCTCGGACCGACTAACGTTCTCGTTCTCGACGGTACCGATACCGCGTCCACCCCCAGCTCTTCCACGGATAGCTCTTCCACAAACACATTTAACTCGCCTAAGGCCGCGATTGGTATCATCGACTTTGAAGTTGCCGGCTTCCTCCCTAAAGACTGGATCATGACCAAGTTCTGCGTGACCGGCGGTATGGATCTGTCGTTCGAGGATGATGATAAGGTGGAGGGTCAGGATCCAGTCTGGTGGCGCATGAAGGTTGCGACTGGGGTTAGGGATAAGCTAGGCCTCAGGCAAGTAGCGCACGAGTGGGCCAAGTGGAAGTGGATGGCCGAGGAGTAGTAAGGAAGAGTTAGGCGCCCATCCCTTGGGAGATAGGCTTAGGAGAGGATCTATCATGTGCTATCTACCTCTGCGCGCTGAAATATGCTATCTAAACTCGAAAATCCTCGAACTTAGAGCTCCAGGAAAAGCCGCTCAACACTATGAAAGTGTCTGATATGAAATAGAAATGAGTGATACTTGCCTTCTTCCTCCATGCGATAATGCCGTGGAAATTCCGACCCCTGTTGACAGCTCACCGCAGCTGCCTCCGCTGTCTCTCTACCAATGTCCTTGACCTCCTCTATCATCGCCCCTCACTAAACACCCGCCACAACTGCCCCAGCCGTGTCTCCAACATATCCACCTGCACTACCACCGACTCCCTTTCCGTCGTCGTCGCCACCCTTTCCATCCTGATTTCCTTCCGCTGCCCCCTTCTTGTCGTAGTCACACCCCTTATTTCCACCATTTCTGCCCTAGTCCACATCAACACCCCGGTCCGTCTCACCCGTCTCGCCCGTGTTATTAGTGCCAGTCTGAGGGGCAGTGCCGGTCTGAGGGGCAGTGCCAGTCTGAGGAGCAGTGCCAGTCTGAGGGGCAGTGCCAGTCTGAGGAGCAGTGCCAGTCTGAGGAGCAGTGCCAGTCTGAGGAGCGTTGGTAGGCTGAGGAGCGTTGGTAGGCTGAGGAGCGTTGGTAGGCTGAGCGGCATTGAGATGGTGATCATGGAGAAGGATCAACATAGGGAGAGGGTGGCGTCGGCAGCGCTCGCATGACTCTGCCCGTGTCCGGTTGTTGAAGCCGCAATCTGGGCACTTTCCCCCCATTTAGTTGGTTGAACGGGTGTAGCAACACTGCAGATTGGTTCTGGGATACTATGGGGTGATTCGAACTCCGTTGCTTCTCCGTGTCCCGTTGTTGGTTGCGATGGTGGCGAACGAAGGGAAGTGATGGAATGCTCGAATGTAAAGAGCCGGCCTTTTTAAGCATGGATTTCGAAGGCTCGTGGTCTGGCCTAGCAAACATTACTCGTATCATCTGCGGAAAATGTGCTTGCGACTACGGCTTGGCCAGGGGAAACACTTGAGGGTTTCGCGCGCACGTAACATGAATGTTACTCTAATCATCTGCAGAATAAGTGCTTGCGATTGCGGTTTGTGCTTAAGAAAACACTGGATGATAGGACGCATCCGACAGTTATCATGATTGCGGTGCTGTTGCTGGAAGTCACAATTGCCGGCTATTTGGTGTTTGGTCGTGTGATTCTTGGGTTTGGGCGCACGGAGACACTACCAATGCCGACTGAATGAGGGTCTTCGCTGAGTGTTCGAGCGCCATACTCTCGCAGCACGCCTCGTTGCAGGGCCATGGGGGCGACTCATACCAGGCACGGACATTCGCTCTTGCCAGAGGCGCGCTCGGCTTTTGAAAAAGGCGTTGATGTGAGGATGGCTGAGGAAACACGAAGATACTGGTGGACTACTGGGTGAAGCCGTTGATGTTAAAGTTCGGGCCGGCTTCTTCCGTCGCTGAGTCATACACTGGGAAGGCACGCCCTAGCCACATAGCACAGCCACGTTGAGGCCCGACAACAACAACTGCCGATCACGACATTTTGCACCAAAACAACCGTCCCTGTCGTCCATACGCACGTTGCGCTGCACATAGCTCTGTGTCTCACCACCGCTCTGCTCGCACTAGCCCAATGGTCCCTAGCCTCTCTACTGCGGCTGCCTCGTCCCCATGTTCCAACACCGCTGCTACAACCTGTCCAGCCCAAGTGCACCTGCAATATTCCTTCTGGTCTAAAGTCATGTCTACGCACTATAACCATTCACGATGGGTATCAGCGACAGTGGCACTTGCTAGCCTTCCAGGCGAGACGATTATTACAAGACCGGCGCTTCCCTCCGATTGTAGTCGAAGACCTGCAGCGTATCAGAAAAGAGTCATTCTTTCGGACTTTCTTTGGTAACTAATCTACGAGAATTGAATTTGGCATATGTGGTCGGAAAAGGGCAGTATCTCTCCCGTTAGGAAGCCTCGATGTGGACAGCACTTCAGTCTTCTAGCACTAGAAATTACACACTTGATCGTCAACAGCCGGTCGCCAATAGCGTGATCGACGATATTTCAAAGGATGCCGCTGAGCAATGAAACCTGGAACCGGTTGTTGAGAAATGTGTCTAACGGCCTCCATATAGTAGCAAGTAGCGCCATCAACATCCTATTCCTTCTAATGCACGTTCGGGTACGCGGTGTATGTGTTTGTTGTCAAGAAGAAATAGACGGTGTTGCCAGCGGCGGAGGCTTTCGATGCGGGTGACCGATACGAGCCTTACCACCCCCTGCTTGATATCTGCGGCGCCGCACACTTCCCACTAGGCACTGACCATCTCCAGAAGCATACCGGTGATCTTACCAGCTAACTCAGGTTGCATCTTATGAATCCAGGGGTACAGAGCGTGACCCGGCATCTGCTTCGACGCTCGGTTCCTGGGGTTGTGGTTCGACTGCTTACCGTATGTCGATTTGCTGCTGGGGCATCAAGGAGAAGGGGAAGGAGAAGGAGCCTGCCGAGGATTCGGAGGATAAGGACACGGTAAGTTCAACTGTCATGAAGATGCTCTCCTTTTTCGCGGTGGGACTGTTCTATTAGCCAGCATTAGAACATCATGGGTTGTCGTAGCAGATGATTGCGGAGGACTATATGATCTTTCTTATCTTCATGACCGGACCTATCTCGGGGTTCGAGCCGCCCAATGCAGGAAGGACTATGGATGACAGTATGCACACTTTAATGTCGCCTTCCTCTCGTACATCATACCCCATCGCTCCTCCAATCCCGGTAACGCTCTCAATCATAGTCACCACAGTCTCTCATATCGTCTCTTCCCTTCCAGTAGGCCTTCACCTGCCCTCCCAGGGCCTATGATGCCTCTCTCGTGTGCGCTACCTGTGTCTTTCTCGAAGTACATTCGCGATGCCGAACCATACCAGACGCTCCGCGGAGAAATGGGAGGTGTATCCGATCAGGAAGACGGGGAGCTTGTGTCCCTGCTCTTCGGTGTAAAGCATCGTTGTTCAAGCCACCAATATCGCGACTTCGTGTAGCGAGCGGGTCGTGATGAGGAGGTATCGAGCGAGTGTCTAGCGGGCGGATGCGCGGGGTGGGGGTGGGCAGCGTGGGTCTGAGTGTTCAGCAGGGGTCGGCGGGAGGAGTGAGGTACATACATAGCCCGGACTTCCTTCGGGAACTGCCGGGGTTACTGAGAGACCATGAGTGGCATTGTCCAACCATTCCCTCACTGGAACCGGAGATCTGGCATTGTTTGCTCACTCTCGCGGAAAAGGACGCGATGGAAGTCGATGTCTGAGGCATCGTCCTCAGCTGCTGAGCCCAATGAACGTCCCGGCATTATAGGATCGCGGTAGGTCGTGTCGGATAGCACAGAGATCGGCGCTGTTCAGATGGCAATGTCCTGACATCCTTAGATCACCTCGTTGAGGGGTTAAGCGGCAAATAGTCTAGAAGCATGCCGAAGAATTCTGGGTTGAAGGCAGAGAAGGCTGGGTTCCGTCAACGGTGTTGCCATATCGGCTGAGGGGATCAGATGTGACTCACCAGCAGTAGATCCGATGAAGGAACCCTGAATCTTCGCACTATGCTCCGCCATGCTCACTTGATACTTGGTTGTCGGCGTATACACACCGCAGCTACCGAGAGCCGCCGTGGTAGGACTTCAGCATAGGCCATGCTGGAAAGCCGATGCGGGGCATTGTCGCGTTATCCAACAGGATGCCTGCGCGAAAATGCCTCCTGGCCCAATCGTACGCAACGCGAGCGTGACTCCCATACTCCTCCTCTCCTCACAGTATGAAAAACTTCATTCGACGGCGTACATGAGGGGCATGCGCATGGGCCGCGGTCGGGAAGCGGGGGCGCGGATCTAGGACGAGGACGGCGGGCACGGGCAGTATCAATCTGCAGACGAGAGCTGTACGATGAGCGATTGCACAATCAGCGGGCCAGACTTTACACGTACCGCGTATGGGTTCCAGGACCCATGAAGCCTACCAGAGTGGCATCGCGAAAGACCATGCTCCTGGCTCCGAGGGCTTTCCCGCAAATAGGTATTGCCCAAGCCTAGCTCGCCGTATCTTAATCTGGAGCCGCGATGGGCACCCAACCACTCCCGGCCGATGTGAGCTTGCGGCTCTTTTCTGTTATCGTGTGGTGTCGCACATGTGCGTGGATGTGGTCTTCCACGGCAGGGACCTGAATGGAGCGTGCAATGCGGCGATATTTTCGGGCTTAGTCACTGGATGCATCATCGCCGGGGTAAAATTGTGGTTGTGAGGGATGGGGGTGGGTGACGCGGTGCGTGGCTGGTGATGGCACGTGAGGGCGCCACACTTACGTCACCCTCACGGCGACCGACAACGGCTTCGAGTTAGAGACATGCATGCCCACACGCGCCGAATGGCTTTCTCAGAGGTTATTCCCACAATTATTTGCTTCTCGCCCTTCGAAAACTTCTGCATAAAAGCGAGCCAAGAGACAGCACGTAACTCGGGGTTCATTACCGACACCAGAGCTGTTGAAGTCTATCCACAAGCTACTGGAAAAGCCATAACCAAATACTCAGTTCTTCATTGCGTCGATGTTGAGAAGAGATGGCTCGTCCAGCATATCCCCTTCATTACCTCGTCAATTCACCAGAACAGGAATTCTACATCAACATGTAGCCTTTCTTCTGGGGAGCCTGCGGAAGGGACATCCAATCCGCCACCATCGTCTCCGCGGCCCATTCCACGCCCAAGGAACCTGGATGGAGGATCCGGCTGCTACTAGGAAGAGCTAGATCTTGGCTTTGGCCGCGAGCTGAGAGATGACATCCACGCCCGCGCTCGAGAATTGCCAACCAGGAACCTAAACTACGGCGCGATTATCAGGACTTGGACTCAAGACACGGTGGCTCTCAGCCAATGCCGATATCATGGATGTGGTGTTGAAAGTAGCACGCACCTAGCGCTCCTGCCCGCCATGCAGTATCCCGCGCGCCTATTCCCAGGATATATCTCGTTTCCAGGGGCGTTCGAGAGCAACCAGAACTGCTGCGTAAGGCTTAGTCAAATCAGTGCGGCGTACTGGGCATTTCAGCAAGCCTGCTAACCAAGGAGCCGAGATGGTTCGGCGCTATTTACCATGCATGCATGCAGCAGCTCCGCATCTACATAAGGCCTAATGACGAGGCCTCTGTTGACAGATACATTTACCGCAACAGCGACCAAGAAACTGCTGCCCGCGGGCTCCGCCGCCAGCTGCGATGAAATTCCAGGGGCTATTCCTAATTAGGAATCTTTAGCGACCATCCCACCTGGATGACGCCCAAATCTCGTTGACCTCCTGATTGTCAAACGTGACGTCCTGCGGAGGGTAGAGCGCCATTTCCGTAGAGTCACATCCTCTGCGTCGTCATCGTTCCATTTTTGTTTCGCGCTAAGCATATCGTGCTCCCTTCCTTCTGGCATGGGCCGAATTCCGCGTATCTCTCTCGGATTCACAATATGCGACGTCCGCTCGGTGTCCTGCTGCTATCGCACTCGCCGTTTCGTCGACGTTTGACTCGTCATTGTAGTAGAAACGGCGGACGAGACCCCATTAGTGCGTCAACTTCGGTCCACCGTCGAGTTTTGTCCTGGTCGAGATGCGTCGGCGAGCCGCCGGAGCATCAGGATCCCCTCAAAGCCAGCCATCAACACGACGCACGTGGAGGCTGGCACCCGCATTCATTTACTGCGTCTTCAAGCCCGAAGAGCAACAGCAAAAAGAGGGAGGATGCACATTATCTCGCACTTTTTCCTTCATCTGCGTGCGGAATACGAGCGGAGAGCGTAGGTGGGTTTGTGGCCCCACGTCTTGCGGTCTTGCTTCCATTTCGTCGACGATTCACGACGTCTCCTCATTGCAAGCTGCTTCACCTCCATCACCGGATCGCGGGAGCTTTCTGAAACAGCACTGCGCCTTTTAAGAGTAGGAGGGTGAGTGTGATGATGCAGAGGAACTGCGATCTGAAGTTGTCTGTGCTGTGCGCCGTTGTCGGTTGGACGGGTCCGAGCCCTTGGATCGAGAGCGTGGACTTCAGACGGTGTGATGTTGTATAGATGCCGCGATTGATGAGCCGGGAGCGGGGAGCGGCGGAGGGCAGGGGCAATTGCTCATCAACGCCAGGTAACGCTCCTCGTTGGCACCGAAGTTCATGGCATTGATGTTCGTGAATGGAAGGTGAGTCACCATCTCATACGTGCGCCGGACAAGGTGAGCCAGCGAGTTCCTTAGGGCTTGCTTGTCTGTATGTTTACTTAGCCGATGTCCGAATTCACACACGAGAAACATGAGGTAGGGTGCTCCCAAGCGTCTGGGCACAGCAGACAAGAATCACACAAATCGCTTAATAGTATCGTTCCAATACGTACCGCCCTTTCCCAGCTGGACTGGTTGTTTCTGGATCAAGGCTACGCTTCGCGCTATCCCGTTCATCCGCCATCCACTATCCCAACACGGGGCAGATTTCCACCTCAACCGCGGGTGTCTGGAAACGCCCACATGACTGCTTTGACAGCGGGAAGACGCCTTTGCTACCACTTAGAAAGTTTCCGGCTCACCGACGCCGATTTGCTAACCTCTGAAAACAGCGTGTCTTGGTCACGTGGAACTTTGGAATTTCATTCCAGTCTTGCCCCACTCTTTGTTAAGCGACTCGATGGCTTTCAGCGGGATGCGGCTGCAAGACACGACGCGCTCCCGCTCAAAGCCGGCTTTCGCATCGTTCTCCCTGCACTCAATACTTAATAACGGGCGTTATGTATACGCGGGATTTGATACTTACTGGGGCGTCCCAGAGCCGCGCCTATCACCTATGCCGCAGCTGTAGAACTTATTCTGCTCTCTGGCGCAAGGCCAAAGAAAACAGTTACAGCGGCCTTGATTTTGAGGGCATGCGAGATTGTACTTGGGCTCCCCGGCTCATATGGTCTAGGTAATGCTGCGCATTGCAACTGTCGAACTGAAGATAGACAATCTCGTCATTTGCGAATTCCAGCCCTGCTAGAGCATATAACTGAACCTTGGAAGCGGTCGATGCACGTAATCGCGAACTGCATTAGAGGGAGGAAATGGACGTTTAAACGATGCTGTGTCGGCGAAGTAGACTAGACAACGAGGCGGACTGCGTTTTATTCACAAACGCAACGCATAACTCTCGTTATCCCCAGTCGCCTGGGAAGGGCCGTTCCGTCATGTCCGGCATCCATGACCCACACAAGCCACCAACCTAATCTTGTCAACCTCCACGGTCCTACACCTGCTGCGGTAATCTCAAAGTCAGAGAGGTCATGTGGCTGTCTGAGAATCGGACATACCCGCAGTCATGGTAACTAACTGGCTGGAGGAAGCTTGCGGCGCCAGCGGGTTTACGCACCCTTGTCCTCGTATGCGTGAGGATGGGTAGCGGTAAGGACTATAGCAAGGGCCAGTCTGCTTCGGCGTAGCCTCTTCCTTCTCCGGGACCTCACGAGACCGGGGCTGCGGTCCGGAGCCCTCCAGAGTCTCCTGTGGCGGAGTTCCTAAGCTGCGATGCCAAAACAGCCTAGACCGGTCCACACAGGAGGTCCGACAGCATGGATTCTGGTGTGGCCAAGCAGTGCAAGCACGAGCGCCTTTGAACTCCTTAGCGGACTTCTAGTCGTCTTCACCGCCCGGGTTATGCACTTCCGTTTCTGGAAGATTCGGCGTAGTGACTCTGCGGGAGTTGATCCTGCGACTAGCAAGATCTACGCGCAACCGCCCAAGGCAAGCTCTTCGGTCGTTCTCCCTGCATCGGGCCAGAGCGAAGCCCACCTCGATGGTTAGTAGATGAACCATCACTCCTCTCCCTTAACTTATCCAAAAAGCTGCCCCTCTTTTTCTTCTTCTTTTCCGCTCCCTCGCGGGGCTGTGGTGCGCTCTCCGACAGTGACACTACAATCTGTGGGAGTTCATCGGGAGACCGCAAATCATCGTGTGAGAGCTCTAAGCGCCTTGTCACAGGGTCCATTCTCGTGGTTGCGAAAATGGGATCGTTGCTGCCTCTTGCGTTGTCCGAACTCTCAGCTGCGTTACTAGTGGGCTGTAGCTGGTCATCACCTGTAGACTTAGACAGGTTGGTTGAGTCGCTCACGTTTTCTCTCGTCTGCTCGGCAGCAACAATGTGAGGGATATCGTCAAGAAGAAAAGAACTCCGGGATTCGAGGTCATCGCGACTCATAGCCTGCCGGGGGCCTTGTGCACCATTGCTGGATGCGGCCTTGCTCGACATCATCTCCTGATGGATGCGAGTAGGTATCTCTGTGCTGGGAGGCTCGCCGGAAGTGGGAAAGTTCCGTTGGGATACGCCCGTCTCGAGCTTCGTGTACATATACTTCTTGGCTCTTTAAATCGCTCAGCGCTTTGCATGCGATGCATATGACTGCCACCAGAGAGAGGCACGAGACTTACGGTGCTGACAAATATGCCTTCCAGCCACTAGGGCATGTCCGCGAAGGTGGGATTTCATCATCGCCCGCACCCCTTTCTTGAGTCTTTGCCGACACCCCAGCGCCCAAAGATCTTTCGGGGAGAATCAGCTCCACTAAGACGAGTTAGTTCGTGCTCTTCGTAGTAAGGATGTGAGAAATCTCTACATACTAAGGCCGGCATCCGGCTTCAAGGTTGCCGCAAGACGAGCCCAAGCAACCATGAGCAAGTGTGTGGAGAGGAGGAAACTGGTACGCAAGATGAAACATTCCTTGAAGAAATTGTGATATACGTAACTACAGCGGGAGCATTCAACCCACGAGTCTCCAGTATCAGTGTTTGTTAGCTTAGGAGCAGCATCGCAATTCGGGCAACTGACGCAGTCGAAGTGATATATTTGGGAACGAGTCCAGTAGCATCCTTGTTTGGGATTGATCTCGACTGATGTCTCACAGGCAGCGCAAATGTCAGCATTGCGGCTGATGTAGTCACTAGACCGCAGCTTCTCCTGGAGGGCTGTCTGGAAGCTAGTCTGGTCGGTCGTCTCCACCTTGTCGAGGAATCCACTAATGTCACCCTGTTTGTCATAAGGGTCCAAGGAAATTAATCCTCTGAGACCGATTCGAATGAGGAGTTTCAGATAGTGAGCTAGCCCGGTGAGTAGAGACAGGAGCTCTTGCGTGACCCCTCGACGCGGCTTGTCGACATATTGAGTTATCAGTATGAACCAGGCGACCAGCTTCTTACAAAGCAACTTTTGCTCGCGCGACATACGGACTCCTGTGAAAGCATTAGCCAGATAAACCACCGTAGCTGATAGCAAGCTCACTTGTACTTCCTAGGGCAAGCTTTTTCTGGTCGAGAGAATCTAGAGCGACAAATAGCTGTTCAACTTTGACGACGAGGTAGGCGGCCGATGACAAGGCATCGAAGAGACAGCCGTTGCTGGTATGCAGTAGCATGTCAGATACAGAGGTAGCGCAGCTCTCTTCAAATTTGGACACCACGTTCCAGATCCGATCGAGGAGTTCTTCAGTCTTATTTAGGGATGCATCAACAATGTCGTGGGACAAAACTAGACCATCTTGCTCTGGAGCGTCTCTCCTGGCGAAGAAATCTGCAAATTCGTTCTTGAATCTGACGTTCCAGTACTTATGAATTAAGTCTGCGTCACAATAAGCGGCGTAAGAGTGCTCGGATGGTTCAGAGACTTACAGCAATAGGGATGCCACGTCTTGTCCTTTCCGTTGCGATGGGTTCTAACGAACGGCTTGAAAATTGCTGCTCCACACCCGTCACAGATATCTCCGCGTAGCGCATAGTGATGTTTGCAGAATAGTTTCCCTTCGTGCTCGTAGTAATAGTCGGACCTCCCAAATACTTTGTCGCAACTAGGGTCATTGCAAACAAAGTGTTGAGCGTGGTATTTGCGATTCAGCGCTGTGACATAAAAGTCTCTAAGAGCTCCTCCACAGGTATGACATAAAAGATCCAGGCGACGGAAGTGGTCGGTTTCGCAGAGTGGGACCTCTTCGCTGTGCTCCTCGGGCGGGTTCGTAATGGGAAGAAACTTTCCGCCTATGATTTTACCCGGTACGGGAAAGAAGCTGCTCGCTACAATTTTACCGCAGTCCTATCACGGATCAGCATGTGATAAGTGCAACAAGGTTCGAGAACTTACGGCGCATCTGAAGCACTCTAGATGGAAGGTCTGTGATAATGCCCGTACATATCGCCCAGTCAGAGGCTCGCGGCATTTTGCGCAGATCTTAGTGGTTGGAGTGTTACCTTCCAGAGGTGTAGATTGAAGATGAGCGGAGTCCTCGTCCGATTTCGAAGCGGGTGTCTGGCGATGAGCGTCCAGAAGAGTGTCGTTTCTGGGCACATCAGCCGGCCAGCCCTGATTCCTAGACGAGCCTATGAATGGTGCGGTAGGTCGGGATGGTAGAACATCACCGATTTCGGTGGGCCCGGTCGATGTAGACGGCTTAGATGTACCATATTCAACCTCCTCAGACTTCTCCAACGGCTGCAGGGTTACTTCCTCGCGATCTTCTGCGGGCCTAGTGGCATCGGCCTTGGATGGGCCGTGTGTTGGCGCTATGCTATCTTCGATCGTCGAAATGTCTTGCTCTCCACTAGAAACACTGAGATCATCCCGAGCTTGGGTGTCCAATTCCAAGGTGGACTCATCCGGTTGCATGACATGCGCGTGAGCAGGAATTCCATGGCTGCTCGAGGCTGCCGCCTGTGAACACCTTGAAAGCTTTTGGATGCCAAAGATGGAATTTGAGTTGCCGCGCTCAGGCGTATTCCATTCGTATTGAGCACTGGGGGAAGCGACGTACGAACTGTTGGGGCTTTTGTGCGAGGAGTCTTTAGTGGGTTGAACCGGGTATTCCGGAGCGGTGGAGATTGAATCCCCTTCCGGTCGATAACTCATATGATCATGGGAGAGCATGGACTCCTCGTCTGTAGTATTGGTGGCAGTTTTCTCAGAGGCGTGAGGTGCGTGATCTGATATCTGCTCTCCTCGTTCATCGGCCCGCATGTTTGACTCCACATCGAACTGCCCACTTGAGCGCTTTTCGTTCCTTGCCGCTAAGTCAAAGGCTAGTTCAGCTATCATGTCGGCCGCACTAGTCTCCAAAACATCCGAGGATGATGATGGTGGTTCGCCGGTCTCTAGCGAAGCCAGTGATGGCAATCGTGTTTCTGCATGATGCTGGCTTGCTGGTGTGATCTCGGGGTGGCTAGACTGAGGTCTACCTGAGTCGTCAATCCGCTTCTGCATCCACTGAGCGAATTCTCGCAGCTCGGGCACGTCCAGCGGCACGCCCTCCTCGCTGTTCGGAGTACCTTCTAGAGCAAGTTCTGATGAAGATGAAGGGCCTTTGATACTGTCTTCTGTCATCGGAGTCCTATCAGACAGAGGCTTGATGGTTTTCGAGTTTGATGTAACATTGCTCGAGCGGCTCGATGCCGCGGTCTTGAGCGGTGACGATGATGAGGTCGGAACAGGTCCAAACTGTGCTTTGAGTCGTTCCTCCCCGGCTAGCTCAATCGTCGCGGTGCTCGTGGAAGGCGACTGTCGGGCTACCAAGCCAGTAACAGAGCTCTCGTGAAGAGAACCAGTCGAGGAAACCACGCTCTCGGCAGACTCTAGCTCTTCCATGCAACATTGTCCAGAGAAGGCGAACTTCACCTCAGGATTAGAATTGACAGATTCAATCTCTGAGAGTAGCTGTCGTGCTGTCCACCGCTTACCCTTTTCTTCAACGAGTAGGTGACGCATCCAGTCTATTGGGGGATTGTCGGCTGGGGTAGCTTTCAACTCTAGGCGTTTTATCCAAGCGAAGGTGGCTTCGCTGTTGACGTGGTAACATGATGACATAGATCCATTCGCTTCGAGGAAGGCATGAAGGTTCGCGATGGTCTCACCTTTCAGAACCGTCCATATCTCGAGGAATATGCACCCAAGCGACCACAGGTCCGAGGACGTATTCCGCGGCGCGTAGTCAGAGACCTCTGGGGCGCAGTAACGTGCAGTCTTCGGCGTCGGCCCTGTTGTCGTGCTCTGCCCGACCTCGGACCAGTCCAAGGAGATGCCGAAATCGGTGAGGTACACGGTATGTTGCGAAACCAGCACATTCTGAGGCTTGATGTCTTTGTGTCGAATAGTGCTGTCGTGCAAATAGCACAGAGCAGACGTGAGGCAGCCGAAAAAGGAGCGGGTGAATGACTTGGGCGAGTGCGGGTTGGCCTTGCCGTCGGAAACACAATTGTTCAGGAACTCCTTGAGGTCACACTCAGCAATAGGAGACATGACAATGCCCACGAATCTCGGGTCCGTGTAGCTGCCAATCAGCTGCACAATGTGGCGATGATGGCGCAGCTTTTTGAGGGCGCCCAGCTCGCGCTCGAAGTCGCGCAATATTCGCTGGTCGCGCCGGAAGGTGCGACCTCGCGGGATGAGCTTCCGCGCGTATTCTTTGTGGCTTATGGTGCTGATCACCCGGTCCACGAATCCGTATGTGCCCTTCCCTAGATCTTCCACCTTGATGAACGGGACGTCGGCGGCGCTCGCAAAGTGTCGGTGGCGGCCCGTTTCGCGCTCCAGATCGAGAGCGCTCGATAGCACCACGCGTTGCACCTGGAGGAAGCCCTGGGCGACCGAGGGATTCAGCGACTGTGGCAGCGTCTGGTGGCTGAAGGGAAAGTAGACGTCGGAGATACTCTGCGCGAGAAAAAGGTCAATTGCGTCGAGGCGGTCCATCAGCCGCAGGACGGCGTAGACGCGGGGGATGCGCGACCATGCACCCTTGCCAACGCGCCGCAGCACGTCGGAGATGTCTCTGAGGTCCGTCTCCGAGAAACGCTCATGTTGCTGGAGCGTGGATATGCCGGCCGCCGACTGAGGGAACCAGCGCCGAAGCAAAGAGGCCTCAAGGCCCTCGGATGGAGGGGCAGACTCCATGGGTCAACCAGAGTGCCGGTGCGTCATCCGGCCGAAGAGAGATCATTACCATACACGCTCGAGGGATATGAACAAGCGGGAAGAAGAAAGGTGCAACGAGAAGTACACGAGTTGTTGTTGCAAGTGCTAAGGCTGAGATGAGGTGCAGCCTCCAGGGCTGCCCGGAGGTGGGGAGTTCGCTTGGAGGGCGCTATGCGTCTCTGGGACTAGCGTGGGGGATTAGCCCCGCTGTTCAGGTGGGGAGCCCTACAGCCATAGATTCTTGGGTCTTACTTCGGATGAACGATTCTGGAGGGTGTAAGGGACTGCCTTTTTACGTCGATTACCATGAAAATAGAAGACACTCGCTACCTTTGTATATCGCATTGAGCCGCTGTTGGGGCAAAACCGGGCTTGCATCTGCAAGAACCATCAAAGAGTTGGGGAAGCATACTGAGTTAATCGACGTACATCTTATCACAATCACTCGCCGAATAAAGCTAAAATACGTCTGGGGCGACAGTCTATGCATAACCAGCCTTCGCCAGACGACTGGAAACATAGGGAAGCCCAAATGGCTTTATTCGTACACGCACATCACAATCTCGGCATCTGGCTCCGCAGATAGAACTGTCGGCTGTCGAGTTTGGAACGAACATCGATCGTATGGACTAGCCGGTGCTCGCTTGCGGAGGAAACTGAATGTCTCCAGACCTCAAAGCACCACCGCTTCATGACCTGGTGCCGGAGTCCGTATCCCAAAACATCTCGGCTGATATGACGCGGTCAACAAGCGAGAATGGTAGCTTCAAGAGCGTGAGCTCTCTCCAAGAGCCGTGCATTACCCCAAGGTACCGTACGATGGGAATGTAGGGATCTGAAGGCCACACTTGGGTTTCCTCGGGGCCATTAGCAGGACTGGGATCCGCTGGCCATAGGCGTTCTGCGGGGCTCACCATCACCAACGTTGGCAAGAAGAACCCAGCCTCCGTATTCCGTGGCATAGTGCGACGCTGACAGGAATTGACGCAGTTGCAAGGGTGGAGAGGCCGTCCTTGTGGAAGCCTCCAGCCCGCCAAGAATTCCCTCTCAATCCAAACATATTCAGCCTCCCCTCAATAACATCGGGTCAGCGAGGAACCCGAGCCCTAAGGCCCTAATGCACCTTTCCTCACCATCTCATGCTTCTCTTATCTCCTGAGCCAGTTCCTGGTCCACGAATCCTGGATCCTGCGGAATTCCACTCCCAACTTCATGGGTTCCTTGACCGCTACAGCCTCAACTCCGCGGCAAAGAATCCTGTGGCTAACCGAACGCCGCGAGGCAGGAAGGTGGACGTCATCGAAGGCTTGCCTCTACCTGGTAGCTTAGCAGGCAGTTATTTCGGACGATGAATAGACGGCATATTGAGCCACATGTTGACGTAGGACTTGGATTGAGCGGTGGATGTGACCGTCGAAGACAGATTCTCGATCACCGATCGTACGGCAACGAAGCCGAACGTTTCTTTGCGCGCATCACTGGGTCCTCAGGCCACACATTTCCTCTCCAGAAAATGACTTGTGCCAGAGCGAAGCCGTGGGCATTGGGCAATTGCGCCTCAAAACACCAAGATCCATGTGTATAGCGTATGGTCCGGGAGGAGTCTTTGATCATATCCGGATGTCACTGAGGAGCTCGAGGAAGCCCGGGTATTAGTACAACGTCCTTCCGGCAGGCTACGACTACTTGCAGCTCCATTTTCAAGTGGGCAGCGTCTGAAAGAAGACAAGCCGGCTTCTCCACATTCTGTTCGACCAGATACTGGTGCGTGAGTCTGATTCCGGGCGCAATTATGATCTGGGCGACACATGTTAGCTCTCTGATATTGACAGGCTAGATCAACCTCCCGTAGGCCTTTGTAACGACCGCTTGTTGATGCTGATGACCTCCTCTGTGCATATTCTGCTGAGAACCCTTCCTAGGGACAGTACGGTGCGGACCGGTTGATGGGTGATGGCGGTCGATGTTGTTGAGAATGTACCTGTGGTGTGTGGCGGTCTGTTCTACTGCGTGGCGATGACGAGCGCTCTCTTGAGAGACGCAGGTGCGCAGGGCCATGCTTCCAGGTCGCGTGTGTGATAGCGGGGTGCAGGATCCCGGCATTTTAGCTCGTCGTAGTGATCGTAACTATTGCAGTGCAAGCGGGCGGGGGGTTGATAACACCATGCCAAGCATCGCGACTCGCCAGCCCTATTTCGGCGAGCTTACCTCAGCAAATGTTAACCCAAGCCCCGAACTTCGTCTTAGCCCAGGTTTCAGGTCTTCTCTACCACACGCTGAACCTGTCACTTTTTTCCCCCAAACAACATCTATGGCGTCGTCGCCTCCTAAAGTTCCGTCTCTTTATTCCAGCATTTCTTTCGGAAGCGGCTTCCCTCCGTATCTACCGCCATGATTGTCGTGCATCAAGCGCAGCCCCTCGCTCAGCATCCTGCTCGAAGTTCTCGGCGCACGCTATTGGCCTAAGAGAGCTCGATCTGAAGTCTCGAATGCGAGAAATTGGTGTGGCGGCCTGATGTTCCGGCGGGGTGTTGAGATAAAGATCGTCGATGCCGACAAGTTGCAGAACGGGTATGCAAAGTGAAGGCCCTGTTAATATAACTAGCATTCGCGATACGGGCGTTGTGCTCCAGGCATTCTTGCCAATATTCTGTTTCTAGTTCCGAGATCAACGTCACTAGGAGCGTAGGTTGGGCATGAGGTTTGCTCTGCCGGCTGGCAGGGATCCTCGCCCCGGTGGAGAGACGAAAAGTAGATTGCCGACAACGGGACGGACGGCACGGTCCGACACAAGTGGTGGATCCAACGGCTTCGGCCAAGACGCCAGGACGACAATACTGTATTGGATGACGCGTTCCACCTGAAGTTGTACGAACTGATTCGCTTCCGGTATGGTACCCAGATGGTTGGAGAGGGAGAACACGACTTAGCGCCGGATCGCATGCACGTCGGCGTTCCGGTCCGCTGACCGACGTTCTCTCAAAGCCGTCCTGTCTTGGACACTATCCAACCAACCCAAGCTACAGCAGCCCTCTTCTATACACTCAAGAACGACGGGTTCCGGGCAGTCTCGCTACCCGGCCTCCAGCCTGATGATGCGTGCTGGTTTGGGGTTTTAGGCGAAATGCATCGCATTTCCACCTTTTCAACCTCGATTCGAGCGACTCGTCCGACTACGGAAGCGATCTACACCGGCACGGTTGACGGGCTGCGATCTTTCATCGAGAACGAGGAATCTTGTTGGCGATGCAGCGGTTGCCAATCCGTCGCCTTTCTGTCGGGGTACATGTGCGTTTTTCCGATTGGGGAACTGCCTCGGTTGCTTTCTTCGGAGTTGAGCGAGCCGAAGCCGGGGAAGCCCGCGACAAATCATTCCCAAAGTGCGAGTGTTCAGGTCGGCGTAGGCTTCTTCGTTAGGAGTCGGGCGCAAGTGACCTTCTTCGCAGGTAATTGGGTACGAGTACCCTATTTCCCTGACGTTTGCGTCCAGCATTGATACCGGAGACGCGCGAAGATGCCTGCCTTAAGCGTGGAGACTTGGCTTTTCAATTCGTCTGGTCTCATTTAACTGCCTTCATGACGATAGCGCTTCGCGAGAAGATACCTTAATGGTACGGAGTAAAGTCTTGATCTTCGTCCCGGAGCTGGCGACGGGTTTGGTGAGAAATGTGTGTTGGTTCGGAGGACTTGGAAGCATGAGGAGGTTAACGAGACTATACCATGTGGAGGCGCCGGCGCATGCATCCTTCATAGTGAAGCATAAGGCAGAGTTTGCACAACATTTCCTCAAAATATCTTCAATTCCTATCCCAAGTCTAATCCGTTGTACATATGTCTGGTAAAAGTTTGACAAACGGCGTGCGATTCCAAAGCGTTAAGGGACAGAAAATTTGCAGTATTGCGTACGCGGCGGCTTCAATTAAATGTTGGTTCTTGCCATTCACGTATGGCGACGTCGTTTGGAGCTTCAAAAATGCTGGAGAGCTTTGGGTTTCCCCACAGCGCGCAGGCAGCCTTGTATGCCAGCATGAGTTCCTTCATAAGGAGCGCGTCCGCATCCTCCGTACCTGTTCGAGCGATATTGGGGAGGTACGCAAAACACTCGTAGAATTCCTTTTTTTCACTGCCACTAAAGACAATGTATCTGTTTCCTGGATAGTCGCAAAGTACCGTTCTGTTGACATTTCAAATTTTCCCACTTAGAATCAAACCTTTGGAAAGAGCGAAGAAGTTTGTTCGAAACTTAGCGGATCTGACTTTCCAGATTACTCACTATCTCAGGAGCCATAGTAGAAAGAGCATGAACCGTGGTTGGCCAAGAAAATGTTGAGACGGCAAGCGGACAGCCGCGGCACCACATGCCGCTTCCTCGCAGTATCATCTAAACGAGCACACACCCGGGCCATACGCCCCTAGGAAGACTTTTCATACCTACATCCCGCATCAACATCGCACATCATCCCGCCCAATCAGCGATGTTTTCCACGCAACCTGAAGCCACCTCGGCACTTGAGAAATCCGCCGCCCACAATTCCTCACCGGCGATGCCTGAAAAGGCTACTCCATCGAAAACCACACCCACGGAGCCCCCGAATGCCAATACTTCCAAACCGCTCACGTTTCACAAGATGAGCAATGAGTATCCTGCATACCAGGCATGGGTAGAGAACGGTGGACTCATTGCCTTTGCCGATAGCCAGGGACTTAAGCCAGACTTCCTTGACTACCTAGCCAATCTCCCAATAGAGGTTACACTTGCGTACGGTAGAGAGCTCGAGCGGATCCCCGGCTTGAGGGCCCAGAAAAACGCGTACGAGAAGTCCTTGGGCGGCGGCTGCAGCGTGGAGTCATGCTACGCTATCATGGAGGCCGCTGGGGACTATGGCCTCTATGATGTGTCTTCGGATGAGGAAGGAGCGGTTGAAAAGAGCGTGAGTGCGCGGCTTTAGGGGACCTGGGTTTTGTGGCTCTTAGCTAACGTCGTTCAAGAAATTGTTCGACGAGGAGTACAAGAAGAGCAAAGCCTACGACGGACTGGAGCTGCAGTCCTCGCCCTTGCGGCCATCTGTCCCCCTAAGGTCGCCATTGAAGAGGGGTCTTGGAACGCAAAGCAGCCCCGTCCGCAGGCCCTTCAAACGTGTGAAGCGCAATGCCTGACTTCTTGCTGCGGGGGTCGGAATGTAGCCTTTTCCTTTTCGTTTTCTTTGGGTGGGAATGATAATAGGGAAAACTTGTATTGCCTTAGGTCGAGAAACTCTTTTCTGCTTGTCTCGGACACTCCGGGCTTCTGAGTGTTATGGGGGAGGTATACGTAGCTTACACCCACTCCCGTCACTCCCTGATACCGTCAGTATCCTTTCGCAGACATGCCTCCATATTCCCGGTGCATGGGAGCCTGATGTTCGATCACAACGATTTCGACATCTAGCAACTTTATCGACCTTGCACCTGGACCCCTAATCCTACACTTAGATCCACCATCGTTTACAGTAACGCCGTTTCCGCGCTCACGATTCTAAGTCTCGTGCGTTTAAGCCAGCTAGCCACTTTCCTGAACCCTGCAACTTCACGGCTTTATTTACGCCGTACCTTAGGGGCTTAGGCGCGGCAGATAATTATTTACCCTAACTACTATTACAGGACGCTAGGGAAGTCGCCCTACGTAGCACTATTAAATTTTGTTATTGTAGACAGAGCCGCCAGCTTTAGATGTTTACTATACATGTGGCTTCTAGTATTCGAAATAGACAGAGTTCTGTAGGGAAACCGAGCTATACGGAATCCAGCATTATGTAGATTCCTAAGATTTTGAATAAGTTCTAGAACCCGCCGCTCTGTTACTTCAACTATTAGCGGCTTCAATATCTCTTCTAAGTAGTACTCTTATTCAGGCTATCTATACTCTACAGCTGGCTGGTAAGAATTAGTCCAACATTCCCAGTCCATCTTCATATCTTGCTATAGCAACCTTCTGGCTACAACCCCTATGGCACCTAGGCTAGTACCCAGTTACGTCGCCGCGAGGATGCTCAGGGATGGAGGATCGTCATGTATGCGCAGCTGCTGATGGTATTGCCTAACATCTCTCCGACGCGATTTCATGGCAAGGCGCGCGTCGTCTACCTCTCTGACTTAGCTCGGCCTGAACTCATTGAATTGACCTGGCTCTGAGAGCTATGCAATTATTCCACAAATTCTTTCCTGCAGGGCAGATGAAGGAAAACTACGCAAAGTGATGAAAAACCTCCCTCTTTTTGCCTTTGTTCTTCAAATTTGAAACTGCGTAAGGAGTGGGTCGCTACCCCTCATCATGTCGATCTGCATGTCCTTGCCTTTTTTGAAGAAGGATCCTTGTCCGGCAATGAAAATTCTGCAGCGTTTCTACCTCTCTGAGAGCTACACCGTGCTTTCGTGCACTGCGCGCTCGCTCGGCCTTGAAGGTAGACTCTCGATGGCGAATCCCATGCACTGCTTCGGCCTGTGAGGCAGTCGTGGTCTGGGTGAGAGTAAGCGGTGTGAGCAACAACGATCGAGACCGCTACGCTCCTGGAGAAAATGGGCGGTTGAGAGGGGCTTCGGTCACGCACCAGCGAGTCCGGCGGACCTGCGCCAGAGCAGATGAAGTGGTGCAGTTGCACAGCTGGGTAGCTTTGTGCATGCTGTTAACCCTTTTGATTGTGGACCGCTTCAGATGCGAAAATGCGGACTCCCGGCACTAATAGAAGAGCTCGTCGAAAGTAGCGAGAGTGCCGTTGAAGCCGCGCTAGCATTCGTCTTCGAACTGCCGAACTTGGTGCATTTTGCTCCAAAAGTCGACATTAGGAAGGGACCGTCGATACCTTATCTATCTGAGCCGTCGGCATCAGGAATTTCCCGACCGACACCTTTCCCACTCTACTCTCTCAAGCACTTCTGCTGACTGACTGCAATCCTGAGTCACACCTCTACCACGGTTGCCAGAACCCACGGCGAACTCTAAGGACTAGAACACCGGCCTATGTCGCGCCACTGCTGGCCAAGAGCAACACTGCAAGCTGCCGGTTTCCTGCTACGTCAAAGGCACCAACATGAACGCACGCTGCCACATCGACAAGCACCAGGAGCAGGTCGAGGACTATCCCAACCTTTCTGACAGCGATTTCGTCGCCTTCATCGTTGTTGCCGCCGATTCCGAAGCCTCCGACTCTGGCGAGGCCAACGATTCCGAGGATGAGATCCTCCGCTCTTGAGGAACTCCTCCCTCGAAGACGACTCTGACAACGAGCTTCCAACGCCGTCCTATGAAACGTCGAACGAGCCGTCTCGGGAACTTTGTGGTTCAAGGACTCCAGAAAATACTCTCACCAGCTCTCCCTGCATCTACCTCATTGGCGAGTCACCTTTGGCGTCCCTGCTGGAACTGAGCATGGCCTTCCTACGCAGCCATACAGGAGGCGGGCGTTCCATCTCATTGATGTGTCAGGTGCCAAGCGAGCCATTTCCGCTCCAAAATTTTCAATCATCCTATCATCTTTGGGGTGAGTCACCTCGACATCAGAGCACCCGAGTGGCGCCGAGCCCACCCGCGCCGGCGCTCGGCTCCCGCGCTGCGTTTTCGATGCATCTTGCGGCTGCAGGATCATCAAAGTCCGCAATGGATGGGATCTGGTAGGACTTACTTTGCACAGTAGCACGTGCCACAGCACGTGGTCGCATGGCCGGCGAGGGCGTGGGGTTCGCGTGTCGCGCTTGGGCCAAGACTTGGCACCTATCTCGCTTTCTCACGTCTTCATCTTCGCGGCACCACTCTCTTTCACAACTAACCACAGGATCAGGCTGCGCAGTCAGTATGTCACACCTGCAATTCTACTGCTCGCTACCAGCACCACCACCACCACCACCACCATCGGCCATGCTAAGGCAGGATCGCCCCACCAATGATCGATGATGGGCCGGAAGCACTCAAACATCGGTCAAGGGAGGCGCCGCTCTCCGAAGCGTATTCAGAACGCCCGGGGTAAGAGTTTCCAGTCCAGGCTTACCCAGAAAGGCATAATGCAGCGCTTAGGGGTAGTAGAGCAGACGCTAACGAACTTGCGGAGCAATAGGTCGTGGAACAACGGGCTTCAGCTACGGTTACGTCGAGTCGCCACCCCGTACTCTCTATCCGTCCACTCCTACCATCTCCACGTGTTCGCCACCTCTGGAGATGTAGCAGCCGATCCCGCGTGCGGCGTCTGCAGCGCCGTGGAATCTCCCTCCTCTCGCATCCGCGGCAACCAGCCGAAACAGTACGCTCAAGAAGTTCATCGCGGTCCTAGGACCTAGATGACCGAAGACGAGAAGCTGAGGGAAAACAACTTCGTGGAGTAATAGCGGTCGCTACGTTGTCACGGCGAAGAAGCGCATCCGCAGACGCTAACAAGAAGCTTTATCTCCGGCGAAACCCGATGGGCCGTTTGCCAAGGATCCTACGGAATATCGGTTCCGTAGTTCACGATGATGGTCTCGAAGCGGCGAGCTGACAAGGTTGACATCATATGCGTGAACCCGGTGGAATGCCTTTGCAAGGGGCGGCGTGAGCCACTATGTCCGCCGCGGCGGGGACGGGACTCGAACTGGCTTTCGCCCTCCTTAACATATTTTTCTTTATTCTGTTTCGTAGCGTCGCGATGCATGATCTTCTAGTCGTTTGCGATGGATATTGTGTCAATGACCGCTTCACCCACAAGACCTGATTGAGGGGTTTGGCAACTTCTGAGACTTCGCGGCTCTCGAGCATGCGTAAGCCAGCATTGGAAGAGTACGTCCGGGTTTTGCTGCGCAACATTTTGGGAATCAGGTAATGGCCACTTCTCAGCGTCTTCTCCGCTTGTAGTTGTCCCGGATGCAAAGGCTCGGAAATACAAATTACAAACACCTACTTCTGTGAGTTCTCTGCAGGTAGCTGTGTACAGAGTGAATGTCAGGTGCGGTGGCAGGGGGCGGGCGCAAGACTTTGGAGCGTTCTTGTTCATGGCGTATTGCGGCGATAGTGTTGCACTATTTCTAGGAATGTCTGACTAAGTGTTCGCCCAAGCTTGTGATCCTAAACGTTGCACGCGACCTAGTTGGCAACAGAATCACAAAATAAATAACTAAAACGATAGGCGAGCGCCGTTAATAGTGAAGCGGTAGGGTTTCTTAAGCTGCTCATTAAGGCTGAAGTCTTTGCGCTTATCGACTATTTCATTCCACTGCTTGATTCATAAGGTGAGGGTCTTTGCTCATGGAATTCCCACCATATGATAATACGCAGCGGTTCGAGATCGAGAGGCGCGGGGCGGGTCGGGGACGAGCGAGGATCTAGACAGGCGTGAGGAGAAGGTTATGAAGGATGCGAAGGATGTGAAGCGTATGTGGAGGTGCTGCTGAAGTGGGGAACGAGGCGCGCATGAAGACCGCTATGATCCAGATCAACCAGCCACGAGGATTAAGCTAAAATCCCTGAGCGATACAAGCCCATGCTGGAGGTAGCAGCTGTCTTTCTGCAGCGTGGAACACTAATGGTATATTTCTTCACAACGAAGTTCCCACTTCCTCGCCGTTGTCGATTTCTCCCCTGGTGTTCTCTTCCTTCGAGAGTTGGTTCATGGCGAAGCCTCCTTGGCCGTTGATCTTACTCCAACTGCGGACTCGATTTCTTCTTTCATCTCTATTTTATATAACATCTATTCTCGTATGTAACCCGAGTTGCTATAACGTACTCCACCACAAGAAGATGCGGCGGCAGCAGTTAGCTATTGCTCTTCAAGTTGGATTACGCTTCGGGCTTAGCCGTTTGGGACATTCCGGACCGCGTAGCGAGCTCTCTATACGGCCGTTAATGAAAAGAGGTTGTTTGCGGTAGAACGCTCTAAGGTTGAGCAGCCTTCGGCTCTGGAGAATGCGTTGGCTCGGCCCCGCATGTTTCCTATCTAGGCAGGTAAAAGAAAAGCGCGTCGATTGCTGCTCGGTACACGGGCCGCTATCTCGGGTCACACAAGAAGAAATGCGTATCCATCTCGGGTTACACAGGAAGAAGAAACGCGTATCCACCGAGAACGCGACAAGACATAATTATTGGAGCAGAAGCTATGCGTCGGGCCTCGTTTGTCTTGTCAAACCACTTAATGCTAGGCGTCGTGCGCGTAGGAAGACGCACTCAAGACGGGGAGACTGGCTCCTAAGCTTTAAATGCCGTGCATCCTACAGCTTCTCTACTCACGTACGGCAAGAAGTTCTCGTTGAATAGCGGAAGTAGAGTGCTCTACATGTTGTATCAAGAGCGATGTTGGACTTTTTTTAAAAATTCCGGGGTCGCTACCCGCTCCGAATGACTCGAATGTTAACTGCAGCATGTTCCCCGGTCGCCGTGTTTTCACCCTTCTATCTTTCTGGCTTCCTTCAATCTGCTGCAGCCTGCGGAGCACAAGTATTTATACATGCTGGCAACGGAAGTGCTATCGTATCTGATAAGGAACGGGGGAAGAGCTCTCTGGTGCGCCGAGAAGGCATTTCCTATGACCGTGCTAGTGATAAACACAAGATCCTACTTATGCGATAGCCTAAGAAGCAGCTGTTCAAAAACGTATGTAAAATGCTTAAGGAAAACCTTAAACTATCGATCTTAAATACATGCCAACTAGAGGCGATCGACGGGTCTGAGAGAGGAAGATCCATAAGCAGAAACATCTGATGGCGGTTCCGACCTATCTGGGTCTGCGCGATTGTCTCCTGAAACCTCCACCTATTTAGTAAAGATGGTGCCGCCGATAGCGAGCGAGATATGAGCGTTGGAAAGAGCTGGTGTCGAGTTCCCTATCGAATTAACATCGATGATGGACTCGACATCCGGTAGTTCTTCCTCGGTCGGTTCGGCATCGTTGTAAGATGTCTCTGTGGTGGTTTTTGATTCATTGCGACTAAGTTGCCAGATAGAACGCGCCGACATCAAGCATGCCTCGCTCTTCCTCTGAAGCAGCACGTTCTCTCCTATTGGCGGCGACTCCGACTTTACCAAGTACGTTGAACTAACCTGCAGAAACCGCTTTGGATGGATCCTCTTAGGCAGGCTGTTGTGACGGCGAAGAAGAGTTCAATTAGGAAGGCAGTTTCTCGCTCGGAGAGGGAGCCGTAGTATTTGAGGCGGGGTAGAGGTTATTGAGCCTCGACTTGCTTTCTGTTTTGTGTTCCCCATGCCATATCTGGATGTCCGTCTACTAACATTGCCGAAGTGTTTATGGCCTATACAATTTGCCAAAGTACTCGACGTAGAAGACGCTGGTGCCACCGCCGTTGTGCTGGATAACTTTGTCATCCGCGCCCTCGGGATCGCCGCCAATAACGTAACCATCGCAAGCTGTTCCAGTCAAGCCGCTATGGTAGGTCAACGAGAAAAATTGAATCAATCAATCAAAGCATCGGCCAGTTCGAGGTTTTACAGGGCGATTCGCCTTAGGGGACATTATCCATAATTCCCCATACCTGAAGCATGCTGGCAGCAGCCTTGGTTTTTAGAATCGAAAACGGCCAATTGACGTGTCAAAGAATCTCGCGAGCGCCACCTTCTGTTAACGTAGAAAGCCTTCCCGCCCCAACCCACCCCCTTGATTCTCGCAACTGTATCCCGCAGTGCCGGATCCATCGAACGAGGCTACCCTTGCTGAAGCCATCAAAGCCTAGTCGAAGTTCCGCTTCGTGCGTGCTAACTGGCTCACTGCTAAGAAAGCTGCGAGATGCATCGAATCACCGACTCGTGGACACGGCGCGCAGAAGCGCCTTTTCTTTACTTATAATGTAGACCTTTCCCAAGTTACCTGAGAAGTCCCCTCATACCAAAAGAGGAATCTCCGCAATACTTCAAACGTCGTTAGCAGAGATGCGACTTCATAACAGTGATGAACCGTTACTCCGCAGTCCTAAACGTGGCGTGGAAAACGACTCTTTGTTTTGACGGCCCATCGCAGTGGAAAACGAGGAGCTGGATAAAATTTGCTCCTACCGCTTATCGTGCCGGGCGCCCTGCATGAGCTAGCATTCGCCTTATCCGGTTATCCTGAGGCGGTGGGAGAGGGCTGGTGATGGCGGCGCTGCAGATCAAGAGCGAGAAGGGGCGTGACTCGGAAGGCTTCAAATAAAGCGGACTGGCTTGAAAGTCCCGAACGTCACCGTGAGCCCTAGCGGACCGGCAGACCGGCAAGCCCGCAGCCGAGCAATTCGCATTTACATAGCGCCATTGCCATCATCGAAAGACTTGTAGAGGATGAGACCTGGCGGCTTGACACGTTCCTTCTCGGCGAGCTCGCCATCGTTCACGCTTAAAGTATTCAGGGGCCTGAGATATATCAACCCATATGCTCTGGGATATATACTCTCAGACATACTCCATAGGCACGGGCGGCGAGCTGACCAAGTATGCGTTGGGGATGTAAGTCATGGCACGCTGACTGGTCACTTCTGAGAAAGGATAATAGGCCGTGCTTGGGTATTCTTGAGATTGGGATTCGAGCGGAGCCTTTGCTTAGGCAGCCTTCTCGCTGTCATCCATGCGAATGTATCGAGGGGCCCGGTCTCCCTATGTGCCCTGTATCCGCTCTCATCATTCACCAGAGCATTGAATTGTCTCCCTTCGTCTCTTCCATGGATTGCCCCTGCTGTTCGCGCTCCTGTAGGCGCGGAGCAGAAGCTTCAGGCGAACTTCGTCATACGCATTAGCTGTGTCCTTCGGCGACATCGAGGACTCAAGCGATTCGGCCAATTTCATATACTGATTTGCGATGACGGAGTGTCTTTCATCCCTTTCAGTCCATGTCAGGTTGAAGCGAAACGGCCATTGCATGACGCCCTCCGCCCCGTCTGAAACCTAGTCAAGGATAACCGCATTTCTTGTAGCCCTCAGGAAGTCAGCAACGGTATCCCCGCAAAGCCGTGTGGGAGGAACATTTCGGTCCGATCACACGATGATATCTCGTAGCGCCGTCCTCGAGGACTGAATCTCAACATCCGGTTCGTCTTGACCTTCGAATTCGTAAAAGATGGCCGTACGACCTAGCGTAGCGATGCGGCGTTCAAGCAGAGCATTGGATAGGCGTATAACTTGTTGGCCGCTTGTTTCCGCCTACTCCGCGATGACATGCCCATGAGCAAAGCTAAGCAACTGCGCCACTTCGATACGATCAAGAGACGATCTGGATGCGCGAATATGCCCGTAACGACCAGGTTGCTCAGCTTGATCTCGAGGGTGTTGATTTCGGTTAAACACGACGATTCAGCCTTTGATCCCGGCTTTGGGCCTCGCTTTATAGCTTTCTGTTTCCATCTCTTTCCTCTTTCTTACTCAGGGATCGCTGCAATAGAGCGGTTAGTAGCCACGTCGTCCAGTCAAATGTCATCTATAATGTAGACGCATTCCTGCCATAGCACTGACTCGTCGAAATACGGTCTCTGTGGAAACGACCGGGTACTACAACAGCTCTAGGAGATTTGCGTAAAAATTCCCTTCGGCACAGGTGTACCGGCGAGAATGGTCGGTATGGAGAGGAGGGTCGCGTGTCCTATGTTCCGAGGGCAAGTAGGCCACCCTTTGCTAGCGGAGCGCGACTGAAAGACCATCGGTTCTTGAAGGGCTACCGATTCTTGATATGCTGGCCCGCAGGATATTGGGACCGCACGATATCGCTGGCATATCCACGCATGTCCTCTGACCATATCTAGATAGCGCATGGCGCGAGTGGAAGCCCCGAGTTTGCTTTTCAGTTTCGACCGGAGTAGCATCCGGCAAAAGCGCGCAAGTTGTAGATGTGGGTAGATGCGCAATTGGTTTGTAAACTGTCAAGCCGCGGGGTATTCTTCCTTAAAATCGTGTGCCTTACAATGTTCGACTGTATAATTTGGCTGGAACACTTCCCAGTGGAGGCGAGACGACAGCCGACCGAACACAGTCGAGGTAGCATTGTGTGAAAGCGGGGATGCGGAAAACGCCGACTCGAGCCTTGAAGAGCATGTTTTCGAGGTAGAATAGTATAGAGCGTACAGATGTTCGGCTGGCATGCTGTACCACGAAAGGACGCCGTGTGCGAGTCGGCCAGGCCAAGGCGACTTCGTAGAAAATGTAAGCTACGAGAAGATTCACCTCGGTGAGCAATTCGTGAGTGATGCAAGATTGAGCACTACGGATGGAAAGGCACTTTTAGCGGCGCTCCCGCCAGTACACTCCCGCGCCGTTTTGCTCACCGCAAGCTAGGACCGGAGCAGCGTTTCAGGCGTCTAGCAGGGTAGCTCGCCGAATACGACGCGATGGCGCGCACTCGAGAGATGAACTAGCTGGGTTGACCCGCCCTGCATGCTCCTCACAACTATACGTGTCTTTCACCGTGGACAGCGTGCATTGGCTACCTGGTAACCAAGCTTTGGTAACGTGAACTCTAGTCATTATCGCACCGGAATGTGGCTGGGAATAGATCTAATCGTGTAGGACGACAAGAGCCAAATAAATTGTTTGAAGCGAGACTCCAGACTGAGGAAGCGGAGTCCCCTACTGGCGAGCGGCACTAGACTACAGCTGACGGCCTGGCAACACTCTAGGATGAGATGGGGGACACCTTATGAAGAGATGCGACAATAATAGGTTTGAGATCTGCAGGTTTGTACAACTGTTGAGTGCTGTACCACTCCGCGTAATTGCTGCTGACGCGACCCTAGAGTTCTGCGTATGGAGCTTTCGGCGAAACGACTAAGGAAAGCTGCAGGAACTGTGGAGACTAGTCCTAAGACTCTGTATGGGGAGGACCACCCTGGCCGAGAAGCTGAGATACTCCGGATGGAAAGTGGCCCTAGGTGTATTGGTGAAAACATAAGAATGGAGAATCCGGAGTACATTGGCGGATCGCAGACATAGGGACGAGAGTTCGGGGTCGCATGGTAGGTCCCAGATGAGATGCCCAGCGAAAGATTTAGTCGAACCTGTCAGCCACACGCTGCAGCCACACCTGGCCCGTTCGGTCTCCAGCCGCACATGATCTGGGCCGGGAACACGCTGCCTCCAGGGCCCGGAAAGCACTACGATGACCTAAGAGCCACGGCCAGAGATATGTGTTTCAGGGTGAGGCTTCCATAGGTCTCGCGCAGCTTCGTTGGAGTGAGACATGTGCGGTCGGCCGGAATGGTTGTTCCGGAGCATAGAAACCCTAGGAAAGGACAAACAGCAACACGGAAACCGAAGGGAGTGATGGCGGCAGTCAGAAATGACGGGAAGGAGGTCCAAGCTTGTCCGGAATTGCCGGGTGGTCGGTTCCATAAACTTTCCTAGTAGGCGTACAAGCGGGGTATTTGTTCCTCGTCGCTGGAAAAGTACATCTGTTTCTTGCACTAAGTACCGCACTTGTTTCAGACCACATAGACGAGACAAGCAGGCCTGTGCTCTCGTCAGGTCGAAGAAACGTCCGTATCTGCTTGTCTTGGGCCGGCTATCGAAGAGGAGGATGGGACACGGAACATCAGCATCCCCTCAAGATACGGCCAGGAATCATTAGCCGCGGAGGGAATCTGGGTCAGCATTATTGCGAAGGGTCAATGATATTGATCGCGGGACTCGGAAAAGATGTCAGGATTGCCTGGAATATCCATCTGCTGATCGAGCGAGCAAGGCCAAATGTTGCAGGCAGCGTCGTAGCGTCGACACCCCAGGCGGCAATTTATTATCGTGAGAACTCATCTACAGTCCGTGCTCGGGCGCAACCGGTGTGCGCCGTGTTCTTCTCGATAAACAGCGCGGCGGTTTACGATTCTGTAGACACGAGCAGCGAGAATTAGGGACTGTCGTCAATGAGAGACGCCGACACCCTCCTTTTATATGCCCGCCCGTCCATCAGTTATCCCACCGCTCTCTAAACCTTCCGCCCTGAGCTCTTGTCTTCCGCCCGTCCCGTGAGTACAGCATCCACAGGAGCAGGTTCGGTCCGAGAAAAACGCTCTAGATGACGGTTAAATCGTAGAGCGATTCCCAAATGAGCCAGCCAGCATTTCGGTACTTATTCTCAAAGCGCGGCAAAGAGCGGTCGGTGGTCAGTGGGGTGGCAACCGTGGTATACGCGGGCGCGATGTTCGGTCCGCGTTCTGGGCTTTCTGTTCCGCGAACCATCAGTCCAGAACACTAATTCATCACTGGCAAATATCGACTTGCTGTCCGCAGGCCGGAATACCGTCACAATAGGGCCCTTCCGAGAAGCACATCCAGCGCGACCTCAAAGCCATCTGCCCAGGCACGCCGCGTCGGTATATGTCCGTCAGCCGTCGGCCTTAGCCAGCGGTAAGACCAGGCTCGCTCCTGCTCTCCTCCCAAGCATTGAGGAGTTGATCAGTATACGAACGCCATTCGTCTCCTCCTCATCTAATATCTTATCGCAGATTGAGCTGCGGATGGCGGGGACGGCGAGGAACCCGTTCTCGTATCCGGCGCTCGCTGGCGGCTGTGGGATTCAGGTGCGCTGCCGCCTCACGTCGTTCACGGCTTCTGGTACTCGCAGCTAGGCGGTGGCGTCCGGTGGACATGGCTAATCGAGGAGGACGTGAGGCGCGACAGGATGCAGCCTTGGAGGTGGCGAATGCGGCACGTGATCTGCTAAAATGGGCCTAGCGTCTGAACCGCGCCGCCGCTGCCTAGGCGATCAGAAATCCTCTCGAGTCTTGCGCCGCGCTGAATGCCACTGCCGCTCGACACGCGCATCCTCCACACTGTAGCTTAATCTGAAGCTTTCAAACACACCCAAATCCCGCTATATACTCCAAAGCGCGAGGTCGGGCACCTACGTCATGTCCAAGTATATCCTGATGCCGTTGAGGCTTGGTTCTCTTGCGCTGCTAGCAAAACCGTTCGTAGCCTAACGCGCACCGCCTATTGAGTCTACTCGCGCGAGGATGGCTTCAGCATTTCGAGAATGCACCGGCGGGGATGGCGCTCGGAAGAAGGAGGAGAAGCAGGACAGAACCTCCGGGGACGTAATCTTCTTCGTGGAAGAAGTCGTCGAGCACTTCCGCGACGCCGTATCCGATAAAGGTCGCCACGCGAGCGCGCGTTACTCAGGCTACAAAGCAAAGGATCCCGCGACGATGCGGACGACTTTCTATCAATCGCTACTGCATCAAGCATCTTGATCAATGGCCTGGCATCGTTCCTGGCGGCCTTGTACCCGATAAGCTGCGCCTTCGGATTCCAGTCGCTTATCCAGACCTGGTCAGAGTAATAGTAATGCTCGTGATTGTGTGTAGGGCAAACAGAGAAGCACAATTCAAGAGGCTGAAGGACTGCAACATGCTATACGCGCTTAGCGACTTTCACGTCGTGCCTCAGCTCTAACCGCCATCCATCGCCGCGACGGCAGATTCCGCCGAGCGGCAGATGGGAGATAAAAGGGTGATGTGATGGTGGGCGTTGTGGTATTGAGGTTTCTTGTCGCGTTGACGAGGTTCGCTGAAAGAGAACGGTGCCTGAGCGAAGCAGCTCAAGAGTAGGATGAGCTGAAGGGGGTGAGCGTATCGCAAGGGCACAAGTCAGTGAACCCTGAAGCCGTAGTTACTCTATCTGTGGCGCCGTAGCCTTACGCTCGAAGGTCTTCGCATGAAATTTCAATTCGAGAGCTACGGCGGCATAGAAGAAAAGAGGGAGAGCGACCGACACACAGTGCGACACGCATTTCATCGCTAATATGAGCTTTACCAATTGAATAGGACGGCCAAAATCCTGCCCCCAATCGAAGGAATGTGTACAAGAGTGGACACCGACCCGCTCTGCTCTTCTTGCTGTCTTGTCTCGGCGGTCGTCAGCCTCAGGATCCTTCCAGCCTGAGTACGCTCCGAAACGGAAGTTTAATGACATGGATTTAGGTTTCCCCAATATCAACGGTCCGTTTGGATCGGCGCTTGTAATTCGATGATTTCAGAAGCAAAAGGTGAATACCTAGTGCTCTCTAGAAGTATTGCCCATATATATCCGGTAACAGGTGACCATGCCAGCCTCACGGAAGGGGATCCCAGGGCAGTAGTTCCAGAATACGTAGCACGACCGTCTTGTCGGACTTAGGTTTCCCTTAGCTTGAGCCATTCCGCGGCAAACATCTCTACGCTGCGGCCACGCTGAAATCGCCTGCGGCGACAATTCCTCGGAAGCCCTCAACTTCTAGTCGCTCAACGAGTGGTGCAGCGGTGTTGGTCCTCGGTAGCGGCCTCGGTGGTCGACACCCGAGTACTGCTTTTTCGATATAACGCTTTACCAGGGGAGGGCGCAGATATTGAGAGACGAGTTGATTGAGTGAGAGGACGGGAAATATGGCTACATATAAATAACCTGAGATCACGTGAACCGGTAACTCTATCCGGCAACACACTTCATAGAGTTACTACATCCTCGCCCGCGCGCATCTCATCGAGCAACAGCGAAAAAAGGTGAGGCTTATTATTTCCTAGGGATCGGTACGTTGTGCCCGCTTCCTTTGGCAACTGGTATCGTATGCTGACAGTCTGATGCCAATGTAGGCATCACAAACATGGCTTAATTGCGATGATAGAACTACCCTCCACTCTCCACACAAAAAGCATTCTCTCATCTTATCTCACAAACGCTTACGTCTTAGCCCGCAGGAGGAGGAAAAAAACAAAAACATACAACAGCGGGTATTCGCTAGTGCTCACCCACCTAACTACTAATCCGCCGGTACGCTGCTTAAATATGGCTGAGCGAACGGGAAGCCTTGGATTCAGCGTCCTATGGTCGTATGTGCTAGTAATAGGGCGATTTGGCATAAATATACGGCTGATTCGTCGGTCAGGGTTCATTGGTTTTGCGAAAGAGCCGGCGGAATAGCGGCGGCATGTTTAGCCTGACTTGCTATGCTCAAAACGCAAGGAGCAAAGCCCGACCAGGTAGGCGGAGCGCGGGAAAGGTCGTAGAACAAATCCCACCATTACCTCATCTTGATTGCTTCTAGACACGGACTCTATACTAGCTAAATAAGGCGTCGGCATTGGTAGCAGAGAGCGACTGGCGACTGCTTGTAGAGTTCCCCACCTCTTATTCTCCCCAAGATCCTCCGTATGTTCTTATCTTTGTTAGAGACACCAGTACTCTTTGTGTCCAGCCGTTATGCAATGACGCCAAGCAGGCGGAGGTGGAATCGCGATGAGGATCTTTTTTTTTTAACGGCGGATTCTCATCATCAGCACTCAAGGCGACAGTAAGGAAGATTTGGGCAAGTAGCGCGCCGGAAAGATAGAAATGGATTTGAAGATGGATGATTTGCTGTCCTGGCAAGAGGATGTGTGGAGGAACCGAAAATGCCTCTCGAGTTGGCCAGCCTACCAAGCATCCCGTAGGTATTCTTTATCGCTGCCCTTTTTCTCGCGCCTACGTTTAAAATACTAAGTCACTCCTTACGCTTGCCAGTTCTAGGTTCTATTAGCAAGGTACTTTGGAACCAGGCTTAGATTTCACTGTCCTGCTCTTGTATGGTAAAGGCAGGAGTAAACGAGATCAGATCTATAATAGAATAGTCGGCGTGGAGGAGCCAAGCAGCTCGAGGGCTAGACGAGAATTGAAATGCCTGTAAAAAAATATACAATAGGATTGCTGCGTTCAAACTTTGGAAGGCAACCACCAGGATCACATCATTGCGGCTCTGCGCACTGCGAGATAATTGGCCAATACCGGATCGACGTACATGCTACTTTCATTTCCGCCTTTCGTTTCCTCGAACCCGGCAAGATACAAGAAGTCCTGCCCCTTCGACCGCCATCAAAACCTCCAGCGTAGTTCTCCGTTCAATGTCTTTGCGATAAAGGAATGGGTCAGCTGTAATGAGCCGAAGGAGGAGGAGAGCGCACACCAGTAGCATCAACATTTCAGTGACACGAACTCCCTTCTCAAATTCTGCTGCAACCCATGTTAAAGGATATTAATTTAGCATAGTCTCAGAATTATGTATGCATATGCTACCAAGCAGATAGTCTTTTCCAACCACCTCAATCCGCTTTCCGTCCCCGAGGATGATGCGCTCATCGGAGGGAAGGAGAGAGAGGGGCTCGAGGGTTATGAGGTCGAGATCTGTGGTTCGACATCGTTGTTAGTGCGTTTCGCTCGACACAAACTTTGGTTCGGTGTTTGTTGGGCGCGGTGAGTCACATGCGTCAGAGCTACATAAAGGGCGGTCCCTGCCTCGATCTTTCCTATTCTACGAACTGCAACGAACAGGGCTTCTAGACACCACCGCATCCTCCTCCCACCACTTTCTGACTTCTACGGTAGTTCCAATACACCTCGCGTTCTATCTACGACATAACTGAAACTAGCAGCACCGCTTCTGTCTTCGATGTCCGTCCAGTTGCGATGTCTACACCACACGCAAACCCGACCACATCCGCGACAAACTTTTCCGAACCATTGACGTTATCAAGACAGACCTATACCATGGATGAGCTTCGGCGAGACGGAATACTCTGGTACAAAATACACGTTTTCGTCTACGATCTTCGCAATTTCCGTTCGAGCGATAAGTCTCGCGACCGGCTCGAGTCTGTTGTCGACACATACTATATCGGACCGCCATACTTCAGCGCCACCGAAGCAGACAACATCCTCCACACCATCGCCGATCCTGAGACCGGCAAGATTTTGAGAGAGATACTAGATGACTTCTTCGCGCAGAAGCTGGAGAAGCGAATAAAGGCGAGGACGAAGGAGACGGCCGATTACAGAGTGTGTGCGGCGCACGATCTCGCTCCTATCGTCGAAAAGGCCTTTCGCATTCATCCCAAGGACCTCGCGAAGAATAAGGGATTCGTGAAATTGTTGAATAAGAGGGGACTGGGCGCTTTGAGTGAAGGAGGAGTTTGGAAGGGTCTTGGAAAACGGTAGCAGTTACAAGCTCAACGCCGACAAGACTGCTCTAGCAGCGCTCAGGACTCTCGTTGGACGACTGGTATATCGAGAGGCAAGACTACTTCCTATTCTCTACAGACGACATGGATTGTCCGCCATCGAGTAAACTTGGGACAATCTCTCGGGTGTACTAGAAGAGATGTCAGAGCAACCATATTCACTTTTCTGGCCTATATTGTCCTTGATGTCGTCAGTGAGTGCCAGAGCGACTCCCAAAAGCTAATCCAAGATTAGACAAAAGCGCTAGTCGGTCATGACTCCTTCGACCTTCAGAGCTCCAAACACTATAATCAAATTACTCGTCACAAGCAGGCCAGACGGCGACATCGATCAATTCCACGGCTCTCCGAAGTTATAAACGACAGACATCAAGACCGCGAGCGCCATGCGAGCGCCCATCCACCGTCGCATGAAGCAGTCTCCCGTCGTGCCATCTCGCCCTCGAAGTTGCCGACAATACCGTCCGGTTCTTATCAGCGAACGCTTGGGGGTGTTCCCCCGGGTAGTCATTATCTTCGAAGAATGGGAAAGATGGGGCGAACGCCTCAGTAACGAAGTAATAGCATCCCAGCTGTCCAAGATTCCCTTGACACCCATAGACACATTCGCAGCGATTTTGCGCGACGTGCGCCAGAACCGGCGAGCTGACATGTGGCGTATGGTCCGCTGGTTACTTTATACGAGTCGGAGTCTCGCCGTAGCAGAACTGGAGGCGGGGTTAACCTTGGAGGCCCCCGTTTCAAGCTGCCATGGCTTTGCTGGAGACCTGGCTTTTCTATGCGGGTCCCTCGTTCGATTTGACGGTCCGTGGGAAGAAATCAGTTTCACACACCAAACGGGTAGAGGCTTTTACTAGATGTATGTTTAAGAGGCAAGTCCCGCGGACGTTGCGGGGCTTGCTATAAGCGCCAATGCCGCGAACGAACACCTCGCAATAATTTATGTTAGATATCTGCTCAGAGAGGACCTAGAGCTGTTCAGAGTTTGGGGGTTCCTGCGGAATCGACTCTCCTATCTAGCCCCGGTGAAAGACGCTCTACTTCAACATACGTTTCGCTACGCAATCGAAAGCTAGGCTCTCCACGTCAGGGCATCAGGAACACTATCAGCCCTACTCATTACCAAATCCCGTGTGCTTTTATCATTTTAATGCGTTGGAAAGCATTATGGCCCTTGAATATTTTCTTCACAAGCACGAAAGCAGGCGGTCTCTATTTCTAGGTCCCCGCTCTACTTTGCGTCGTACTTCGACCCCCGCTTCCTCGTTGATTTCTATGTTACTAAGAAAGGGGCCATGGTCGACTATGTAGGTACAACGCACGACACACCTCTCGTCTACGCCTTGGAGCTCGAAACACTTTCACTGCCTCTTCCTAATCGGGACTAGCTCGCCCCTAGCCTCCTTAATCTCTGGGCTATTATGCTTCGCGCAAACATTATCGCGCCTACAGGCCCTACTAGTCTCCAAGCAGCTGGCGTAGGAGTGATATCGAGATGCGAAGATGGAGTATCCATTCGAGGGCATCTGGAAGGCTAATGTGAATTCCGCCAGCTAGCGCTTACCATTAAAAGCGTTAATCAATTAATCACCTCAAATCAAACCAAGCTTCCTTAGCCAGCAACACACATTAGCACGCTCAAGGAAACCCCACCTTCCGATTCCCGTCATCTTTTCCATCCCCTCTTTGCTCATTCCACTCGCTCATGCCAGCGCGGCATGTCTTCGCTTCATCGCATCAGCCAGGAGATGACAGCATATGACGGAACTCAGACCAGCGAGGAAAAGTTGTTCATCTGGTGCTGTACTAGTCGAGTCGGTTGGAGCGTCTGTACGCCGCGAGCCCGACTGGACAGATATTCCTCCCGTCACTGCGGCATCCCGCGAGACGCGGAATCTGGTTACGAAACGTCTTGTGCTGTTGCTGTCGGAATGGAATATGCGCGCGAAAACGGCACGTGGGAAACGGCGCAAGGAACGAGGTTGGGTGGGTTGGAGACTGCGCTGTGCCATAGGTGAGACTGTATGCATGTAGACGCAGGGCCGCCAGCAGCTAACCGTGGGCCTGCTTACTTGCGTGCTTGCGCGCTTTGAGCCTGGATGGTGTGCTGGTGTCTTCGGGATGTTTTGGTGGAATTGGAGAGGTTGCTGCTGTGGTGGGGTTTGTATTCTGGCGTCAACACCTCCAAGTTCGTGAGATACGCTCTAGTAATACTAAAAGAAAGTAGGAAGAGTGTGGTGCGTTTCTCCACCCCTTGGAGCAGAATACCCACACTACCCTAAGACCAAGATCCCTCACTCAGACAGCTACCATATCTTCGCTCGCCGCAGTTTAGTTCGCCGCTCCCACATCCCGTCTTCCCTCCCACATCTTCCCTCTCACATCCCGTCTTCTCTTACACACCGCACTTCAGCACACAAAATCCAAATAAACCTAACAGCGCCGCTCAAGCGCCGAGATCTAAAGACCGCTGCGGTCGTAGTGTAGATTCGAGGGGTATCTCTAATATCTCTAACTGTACACTGCACGTTATAACCCGCCGAATATGGCTGCGACTGCGACCGTGACATGGCGTGGCGTTCTTCCTAGGCGGCTTCTACGACTTCGAGCAAGCAGACTTGAGGTTTAGCCTGTCCGTCTCCCCGCCCCCCTCTCTCTCGCGGTTAGGTTAGGTTGGCTTAGAGTGAAGTTTCTTAGCAGAGTAGAGTAGAGTGGAGTAGAGTAGAATAGACGTCTAGGGGCGCCGATGTAGAGTGTTTCGAGGACAGGAAGGAAGGGCGACGATGGAGCCTCAGGCCATCAGAACAGATGTCCAGATTTTGCCGACCACCAGACGGATCGTAATAGGGAAGAGAATGCGGACATGCCCGAGGCATGCGGCATTCGACCGGAGGGCCGACGTTGTATTTGGCGGAGATCTTAGATTGCCAGACGGTGGAGATGAAACCGAAACGGTGTGAGATGAATATGGGGATGATGGCTATTACAGGTCAGTGCCGTTGTAGTACATCACAACGGGAGCCTACCAAAAACGCTCAAATGGTCTCCGCAGGCTCTTCCACAAACGCCACCCGCACCTCAGTTGCTTTCGACTCCGGGAAAGAGCGCTGTGACGAAAACTTTCGAAGTTCGAGGGTCGTGGACTTCCTACCGGCGAACGTGGTGCGTGCCCACGCTGTCGTACGGCCTCCGGATGCCCGACCCATCGTCGCCTCGGAGAGCCGCTGGCGTCGACCGTTTCAGCGAGGAATTTCTTAAGTTGGTCAAGCGCTCGAGAGACGACTTTCCGTTTATGGCGCTTCCCAGACCTATTATTCTCTCGTTTGGGTTGTGGGCAAGTCGTGTTCGACAAATTGCTTCCCTTATCGTCGTACGCCGCGACCTCCTCGCGAGCCGTGCAAGCTACCAAGGCCTCCTCGAATTCAAGCGGGTCGTTGTCCAGAACCAAACCGCTCCGTTTTCGTGAGTCTACAAACCGTTCCGGACCTTACGTATCCATTTCATCCCAGCCGCTAGTCTCTGGAAATGAGGGACTTCGACAAATCCGCAATGCGCAAGATACTCTACAGCTTGACAGTGACGTCTCGAGATCTGGCGATGCATCCTCACGACAACCGCACAGGTCCCATCATTTGCGGAATTCATCAAAGACAGCCTCTCGTCTGCATTGGCCCAGGGCGCCCCCAATTAAGCTAAATGTCGTATTTCAAAGGGCAAACGTGTCGAGCGCGGGAGCGGAGAGGATAATGATACCTGGGTTTTAGTGATCCGTTTTGCATAGCGATGGAGTTGGTGGTTTCAATGCGACCTCATTGGAATCTGAGCCAGGTGGGGGATCGTGATAGTTGCTAGAAACACTCGTCAGAAGACGCGTGACGGGGGGCAAGCGTACTTCGGATGACCTGGTCGCCTGAAGTGTCTGTAATCAGATCATGCACAAGGCAATGCAGATGCGCGGCGGGCGGCAGAGCACCTCTACTTTCTACCTTGCCCACGTGAGAAAGGCAGCAAGGCAAACGAAGCAAAAAGGAGCGTCGAGAGGGAAGGCCATCCCTGCGGAGTCCATCCCTGTAACCTTTGCCTGTAAGCCCAAGGGTCTAGTGGCTGCGACAATTGGGGATGGTTTCAGCGCTGGTGTCTGTCTCGTGTGGGCTAACTGGATAGGCTTAGCGTTGCACGTAGGGTCGCGCATTCACGCGATATAACGTATGTGCTAGGCTAGAAGAAGCCCGCGCAACACCATCCCCCGCTCGCCATTGTTAATACTAGAGCCTGAAAGCAACGTACCAGAAGATGGTAGATAAGGTTCAACTCTAACTTCGTGGCTCGGATAATATCTGTAGTCACGAACGGGATTCTAAGTCAGAGGTGGCATGAGGCGTTTCGCATGCATCTTCGCCGTCGCGGTCGATGTCGAGCACACGTAGAAGGCAGACACTCCGATGGAGCATTGTCTGCCGCTTTGATGGCAGTGAGTTGGAGTGTGTTGTCTTCGGGCGGTCGGTAGTCGACCTCTATTTTCCCGGTGGAAATATTCTGCCACAGTACTCCACCGTCTAGTCACTCACCTCCATCGCTCACCTCCCGGCGCCCTCCCTACCTTTATACCTTTGTGTCGCTCAGCTATCTGGCCGCTGAACAGCGGAACCCATCGTGAATATATTTTCCAGTCCATTTTCCGCCATGAAAGGCGAGTGGCACCCTCCCCCCACGCCGTGCCGTACTCGCTTGTTCGATGCTCCGCTCCAGCTTCGATGACCGGCCACAGCAACAGCAGCAGCATAGCGCCAGCTTCGTCATGAATTAGCGCCAGTAAAACGGAATCTCGCGACAGCGCGCCCGAACGGCGGCCATGACTAGAAACGGGTAGGCCGAGTCGGTCAAGCGCTCGCGAGAGAGCACGATACACAGATTTTGAGCATACCGGTATGTGCGATATCGCCCTGTTCCTGGGCAGATGCTGATGCTTCCATTTCGGAAATAGCTTGCCCAACCCGCTTCGAACGCTCCGTCGAGTTCCCTCAGTCCCCGCGGCGCCCCCGAAGCCGACGGCCTGTCAATGATTGATGCTGGCTTGGGTGATTATCTGGACCGTCTACACACCTATTCTCCCATGTGGCATACAGCGCCTGGCAGTGGACCCTGGCGCGGACATGGATACGGGGATGAGCTGGCCGAATTCTATCAGCCCAGTTTCGGCTCTTGGGGTCTGGTAGGTGCATGCGCATATGCAGGATGTGCCCCTATTGTGGGAGGGGATCTCGTTCGAGAGTGCGACCACGGTCGGGGACAGGAGCGAACGAGATCCCAGGGTGCTTCGTCGTCGCTACTCTGTCTGAGTCCACACGGGAATTTCGGAACGAGGCCGAATTCCTACTGCCCCTCGGACAGTCGTTCCGAGACTACAAGCTGAACGTGGGCTCCACCCCACCGAAGCCGGCTCCCTCCACATCACCTTCGGATGCGACTCCGACACCACGTCTCCCGACTTTGCCATCCTCGATACCACATCTACCGGCTCGGAGAAAACCGAGCTAGTCCTCTTCTTCCTCGTCTCGCCTTCTTCTCCTCCTTCGACGCCAACCAGCAGAACAGATTCCCAATTGACTTCCAGTAGTATGCGTATGGGGACGAGGTGCTAGTCACGCTTATGGGCAGGACTAAGGAGGGAAAGCAGGCTCATGATCGAGGCGACGTTCGCGGTGCGGTGGCTGCTCTGACGACCCTACTGGTTCTTCGTGCTCGCAACGTCGAGGGAGTTCCCGTAGATGAACTTTGCTCAAAGAGATCGAGCCCATGTTTGGCAGAGTGAGCTTGACCCCGTACCCAACCCCGTCTCTATGCGTCTCCACGTCCTTCAACGCGATTAATAACGTAAACATCAACTCCTACCGCGCACAGAGACGTATGCCAGCGTAAGCATGAACGTAGCCCTCAACTTTATCACCAGCATGCCAGTGAACAACGAAGCGGAGGCGGAGTAACCCTGCAGATTCCGATCGACCCTTCTGGAATCTCAGACTGGTGCCATCTCTGTTGCGACCTAAGACTTGGAGGACTGTTCGTAGCTGGTATACGGATAATTGGAGGGTTGGGATTTTTAGAAGAGATGTAACGCGATTCAGGATCGAGAGCTTAGAGCCAGACTCTACACATCAGTTGTCGTCATATGGTCATGTTTTTCTCCATCGCTTGCACCCATAATTCAACTAACCCTGTTGCTCTTTTCGTATCCGTGTGTCCTGCAACCGGGATATTACGAGAGCGAGCTTCTTGCGCTATCTGCACTACATTGAGCAATGCATTGTTTTCGTCTTTTCAGTATCTAACGGTATATAGAACCGACTCCCCAGCTAATTACCTTCGTCCTCATCTTCACCGAAGCCGTTCGCCGCCCTCGGCCTCCTCCTCCACCTTCACGCCGCTAACTACTCCGCTGGCGTTTCCCGCAACGACATGCCTGTTTCTGCACTCTGCTATTCGTACGAAGCGATCGCAAAGCAGGGATAAGTAACATTCACTACTATTAATCCGACTGGCTACCTTGGACAGCAGAGCAGCCTTACTGACGATTTGGCGGGGCACTGGGTAGCACGTCGAGACACGAGCGACGAAAGGCGTACACAGTCCGGACAACCTAGTATTCAGGTGGTGTAGGCTTAGACATCATGGCCGATGCAGAAGCCCCCGAGGGGATCACCTCTGGAGTGATTGGGGAATAAAGACAACACGCTGAAGCTGGGCCAACCCACCACGGCTAATGCATGGAAAGCGCCCACTTTTCCTCAAACCAGCAGATTTGGCACTCCCTCTCGTGCTCGCCCTCGAAGCCGCCGCTTTCCTGGTTACAGTTCCACCTGCGGCGCAAACCCATGCTCGTTCAGCAATAACAACCAAAGAAGTTCGAACAAAATACCAGGAGCGCAAATAAGGGGAAATAGAAATAGCGCAGGAAACAACCGCAATGCTGATCGCCATGGTTCCCACCCTCGGGAGAAGCATAAAAATACGTTACAAGTATTGCCTCATGCTATGCTTAGGACCAGTACCGCACGGACAGGATACAGTTACCGTACTTCATCCAGCAGCGCTGTAACCATGGATCATCCAACTTACAGTCTCAACTCCGGGGGTGCAAAAAGCACTCCTTAGTCCAAGGTGAGCAGGTCTTCGTCCAACAACCCCCTACGCACTCCAGGCTCAACTTCTATTCCAGGCTCGACCTTCACTCCTTCAACTACTCGAACTACTCCATTTGATACCCCCGTAAAGCCTCGATCAGCTCCTCGAATTGCCATGATCGTGAATATATCTCCAGTGGCTCTCGGTACGCAAAGATCGGCCTCCCCTGTTCGTAGAACGCCTACAGTTGATGGCGGCAGGCGGGACTGGAAGGGTGATCTCGAAGGACACTACCTCAAAATCCCCAAGAAGATCAGCCATAAGCACTCGCCATTCCAACAAGGATTCAAGAAAGTGCTGCCGCCGTATTACGCACACCTCCAAAATCCGAATCGGAATGGGATGCCTGCTACGAAGGATTCTGCACACTGTGCAGAGAACATTACATGCCACTCCTGGAACAGAACTCTACGGGGAAATCCGACGACCCGCTTACAAAATGGTGCCGGATGGAGAATGATAACAGAGTACGGAAGAGCCTCAAGGAGCCCCTTGGCTTGCCGCGGAACCTCTTCATCGACGCAGTCAAGGAGGCTTTTACTAAGAAATCGTGCCTCTCGTGGCTGTTCAATGAGAACTACGTGTTCGATCTTACGGACGAATACCGAATTGCGTTCCACCTAGACAATATCTTCGAGGCCCCTGACTACAATTCCGAGGACGCTGCCGAGATCGACTTCGATAAGGAAAATGGCATCCCTGCGGCTGCGAGACACTGGCTGGCGCCGGCGAACGAAGATCAAGAGCCGACTTCGGAGCAGAGCGGGGAAGTGCTCCCGCGCGATCTATTCGCACTCAAGCCGATTGAAAATTCCGACGGCGTCATCTTGTTGGGCCAACAGCTTGGCTACATCGAGGTGAAGTTCAAAGAGGACAGCGAAGAAGGCCGTAGCGCCACCAACAACGGCCAGTGGACTCCTACGGGAATCATCGTCTTCCTCAAGCTGGACCCTGATACGAGCAAGTCGGAGGGGTTATTCTACATCGATTCTGCTACCATCAGTAACTTCAAAAAAGGAAAGGCAGAGCGACAAGTAATGCAGGGCTTATGGCAGCTGGTGCACGAGCATGGGAAGGTAGATGTGGAAGGCGAATCTCGGTTCGAGGCCTGCCGGGTATTCATGGACGACGACAAACTTTGGATGGATTGACATGCTGCGGGACTCGTAGAATAGAAAGGACTAGATCATGTTCGATTGTTCCTTCTTCTAAAGGGGCGTTTGCGCAGGAGACAACTCCACTCTCTTTGTAAGTAAGCAAATATATTCATAGAAAGCGGATGTTATATAGATCAGAAGGAATACTTTTCTAGCCCCACAGCATTACCATTACGAGCCATGATGCGCTTAAAGGCCTGGTACAACCTGCATAAGCAGTATCAACAAAGTCTCAAAACTGAGGAGGACCTACTGTGGACGAAGAGGCCAGATATGTGCACGGATTTCGACATTAACCCCGATAATACAAGATCTGGTTGGCGGGTGAAAGGCCACTTCTACAGCGAACCTGCTATGGACGATACGATCATCGCAAGGCTTCGACGCGTGGATAGTTGGCTAAGAGAGATTGAGTATGGGATGTCGGCTTTCCACTCCATGTTCGCCGGGCTGACAATGCGCAAAACACGTAGGAATGCTTCCTCCAAGCGCAGAGCTGATCGTGCTAACCTGACTTTTAGTGCAAGAAAGGTTCCATCAGCGATCCGACTGGATGCTTGAGCAAACCATCAGGCCATGGTTTCATGTCATCAAATCACACGTTAGAGAACGCAATTCCTCCGCGCTGGGAGGAAGACATATTGATGGAGGGATAACCGTGGACGAAAAGATCAAAGACATAACCGAGCGCCTTGCTACCGCATCTCGAGACCTTTCGGCATGGCGGCCGAAAGCCAACGCTGCGATAACATCCAAGGTCGCCACGCAAACGCCATACGAAATTCTCCTCGAGGGCTGCGTCTGGAAAGCCCAAAACGGTACGTTGAAAGACCTTGTTGGCTTCTAATGCTGATCTAAATATTTTCTAGAGGTTGTCCAACGCCTCAAACGACGCTCGATGTCACGCGGCTTTAGCCATGTTACAGACGAGCTTGCACTGAGCGTCCGGCGCACACTGGAGCAGCTCGAGGAGTACTTCCCGTTGGATCGCATGAAGTTCTCCTATCGCCCAGCGACGGCGGTTATGTGTGGACGGTGCGGCATCACCGGCGGGACCAAACCGATGACGACAAGCGACCCCCTTGCTAAAAAGGGTCCCAGCCCGTTGCTCAGATTAATCTGGGAGCAGAGTACCCAGCCCAACGGCCGGTTTCGGGGGCCGTCTGAGCAAATCATCGGCCAGAATCCTTTGCTGCAACCTCAACGGACGCTTGGCGACGACCAGCTCGCCGAACTGGATGACTTTCATGACGCACCCCGCTTCATGCAGCGACACGTCGAAGGAACGATTGACCAGCATAGGAGACAGAAGGGCGCGTGTCCGCTGTGCAGAGTGGTCTTTAGTTACGTTGAGCTTGAGGAGGGCGAACCCCACCGAGAACCTAGGCCCGCTGGGGTTTGCGCAGAATGCAGGACTGCCTGCCAATGTGATGCCCATCAGCACGACTACGGGGAAATAAGGGAGGGCGACGCGCTTTATCGGGAGATCCTTTGAGTTGTTCAGGCTCGGAAGCAAGCACAATACATTGAGGACATCTGGAGCGTGGTGCGCTTTTGTCACGGGGCAACACTGGCTCTGAGGCTATTTTGAAGGCTGCGCGTTATGAGTGTCCGGCATATGCTATGCCGCCTGACCTTAGTTCGCAGCGTTTGGGAGCTTGATTGAGTGTGAAGGAAAGTAATGAATAGCATACTAGGTACGGAGAATTGGGAATACTGTTGTGTGGCTAGTTTCCTGCTGCTGCTTTTTGTCTAGAGCTGTGAAACTGTGTACGTACGCGAAGCACGAAGCACGAAGCTACCCTGAAGACCTGATTGTTAGCTAAAGCCTGTTAAGAGGATTTCGCGAAAGCGGCAGCGATGCGAGCTGGCTCCAGGAGGGAAAGAAGAAGAAGTGTTGCAAACGTTAACACCATTTTCCCCTCTTAGGTCTGCTGCAGATGGAATAAATCCGCAACGAACAGGCTGAATACGACACTAGGTCTAAGTCGAATATGAATCAAATCGATCTGAGCTGAGCTACGCTGAGCTGAGTTCTATTCGACGTTCCTCTTTCCCTGCGGGCGGACATTTATGTATACGCATTTGTTACTATATTTGCGGCCATTTCTACAGTACCTTCTGCTGCTGCTGCTGCTGCTGCTATTGATTTCGCATTGCATCAACGGATTTTCGTATTGGATTTCTTCTTGTTTCTCTAATTAATTACGAGCACACTTACCATGTATGGAGTTTTTGCACGGCGCGTAGATTTCATGCAAATAGATTCGTATGGTATAGGATGGATTCCGTATTGAATAGATTTGGAGTGTGTATATGTGGGTTGAATTTTCCTTGCAGGGTAGGGATTCGAGTAGTTCCTCATCTTAACGCTCTCGACCCAGATGGCGATCTCTCTGCCGGATGATGTTTGTACCTGGGTGGGTCAGCCTCAAATCAAGCTGCAAATCGCGCCATGCTTGCCAAGGTCGACGGGCGTTGCTCCAAAGGTCCAGTACGGGGTAACCGAGAATACTGACCAGGTCGGACGATATGAGCAACATGGGCGGAACGTTACCTGCGCCTTTGTGGGTGTGGTCCCCATGTCACAGGCGATGGCGAGGAGGCGAACGTAGACTCCTGAGCGGCGATACCCTCAACGGAGATGAAGCAGCTCCTCCTCTGATGACAACTTGTAGTTGTAAGTCCTGGCCAACGAAGGCTTAGACGCCTTCGCAAAGTAGCCGAGAGCTTGGTTGTACTCCTTGAGGGGGTTGGATGCGAAGAGCGGAGGGGGGGTAACAACAAACCGTCCCTCAATTCCGAGAGCCTACCTGACAATAGTATTGCACCGCGAACCACTAGGATTGCGGCAAGCGGGCTACGCAGGGAGGTATCGGTGGTAGTTGCGGGCATTGTCGATAATTTCTGATATGGAGACTGTAGTTCCGCGCGCTGCGGCGCCGGATTTGAGGCCTGCCAAGGCAGTATCGGGCTGGGTTTTCACTTTTTGGGGGGGGGAAGATAATTCGCAATCCGTTGGGGATAGACTTGCATCTGGCTCCCGTGGCTGCAAGAGGGATTTTCAGTAGACTTCCGTCGGAACGGTTGCATCTTAATCGAGATCGAGCGAACTCTAGATGACACAGGACGTTGCAAGGAGTTCATCGGATCTGAAAAAGGTCGTCGGATCGAGAGGTTTCATGTTATCCTGTATGGACACCTATAGCAAGCTATTGTGGCGCGTTGTGTTCCGCTTGAGGAGCGAGCGTAACAAAGCAGTCCGGATGTGGCTCCGTTTTCTTGCATAGATCGGCAGCGGTGAAGGGCCTCCTATTGAATGAGGCCCTGGTAGTACTTCCCGTGGTGCGTAGTAGTGGGACACGCAGCTGGAGGGGTCCTGGTTAGGCTTTGTGGAGGAGACACTGGTGTTTCGTTGTCTGAGGGGCAATTGTCGGAAATATTGGCCGGCTACCAAGGCTGAAGGGTGAACTTACCTGCCGCTTATAGAAATGCACGCTTCACTCAGGCAGCCACTTCTGTGAAAGAGCCACTATATCTACTCGCGGATCCTCAATCGCAGTCTCCTTGCGCAATCCGTCAACACTTCACGGAGAGCTCCATGCATTGTCGTCGAAACAATCTAGGCGCCAGCGGAGACGAGAAGCGCCCACGGGCCGATTGCAAACTGGGCAACGCAAAAGTTATAGGCCAATGTTGTCAGCGACGTTGGGGTGGACAGGGAATGCTAGCGCAGGCAGCAGGGTTACACGGCAAATAAAACTGAAAGGCTTCGACGGAAGGGAGACAGAGCCCTAAATAATGCGAAGCTCGACGGAAGATGGAGCTCGAAATAAAGACGACTGAGGCGTGGTTCCAGGGCTCGAAATGAAGAAAATGAGGGGCCCGCGGGCGCCAGTTGAAGAGTGACGGATGCTAATCCTATATAGGCTTGTTCAAGAGTAGTCTCTTGGCGAAGAACATCAAAGAATATTTCGGGCGATCATGCAGAAGGCTTGCACTGCCAACAAGGCCTGTACACCTGCTGTAAGGGCCAGTACGCAGTATTTTTACCCGAACTTGAATTAAAGTCGCTCAGAAATGCATGCGACAGCCGTGAAAGCTAGCAGCGCCGGCTGCAAGGCTGTACTCAGGAAATTCCTGACTTTCTGCTTGGGTACAATATTAACCATTATTGTACAGGTGCGAGAGCGAGGGCTATTGGGGAGTGCGGCGGGCTGCGTTGGCCGAGGTGCGTCGGCGAAGGCGCATGCTTCCCGACGTCGTGGTGTCACAACCTCAGGAGGGGGGCTATCCGGAAAGAGAAGAATTCGGCACGTATCCGCGCGACAGCGAATGAGAATCACGGCAAGAGCTAGGTAGAGAAAATATTAGATGTGTGAAGAAAAGAGATAGAAGTAGTGGCTGGCCGAGACGACGGAACGCCTGCCTGAAGATGCGGCGGGCTCCGAGGCTAGCCATTTCGGATTAGCGCCTCGGCGAAACATTCAACCGCCCGAGCTCGACGACCGAACTCCACCCACAACACCGTTCGCAACACAACTCGCAGCACCACTCAACACCACCTCTCCCTGCCCAATCCTCTCAGTCCAATGTGCCTCCGTCACTGACACTCATCCGTGCTCACCTCTGGGGCAATTTAATTGCGGATCGGATTCGCGCGGCTCAAGGTGAGCATCCCCACGGCAGTCCTAGATCCATATAACTGACAACTGTCTCACAAAGCAGTCTAAGAGGCGCTATTTGCTCAACGCAACACACCACCTGCCCCCTTCGTGCCTCTTGCAGGTGTCGTCCTCGTCGCGTCTACCCTCGCACCTCCTCGTACCTCTACTCTTGCGACGCCGCTACATCACACCCCCGCACTACGAACGTGCCATGAGCGAACCCGGCCCGACGACGCCTCTCTCGGAAAGCGGATCGACGCCTCCTTCATCAATCCGCAGGGCGCACTTCCCGCCCACGCCGTCCTCGACCGCCCAGCCCGAGGCCGATCCCGCAAGCGTGTCTCCAGTCCTGCGGGCCATCGGGTGTCGCACGGCGTGCTGGCAGCGCTTTGAGGTCACTCCCGACCAATACACACGCTTTCGCGCGGACCTGGCCGCGCGCCCATACTTGGCGGACAAACTCAGGCTCGATTACGACTCGGAGGAAGGGGAGCTAGTCCTGCGCATGCCCGACCCCGTGCACGACAACACCGCCGGAGGGCTGCAGGACGCTCTCTTCGCCAAAGTGCAAGCTCTCGTCACGGGCGCTGCGGATGATGCGGATGCCGACCGCCTAGCAGACCTAATACGACCTCTTCGCAAAGGCTTTACCTCCGACGTCAAGCTCGACCTTGAGAAGGGCGACAAGAAGTCTCCGGACGCCTCTTTCGCATACGACGGCTATCCCAACCCACCGTTCGTCATTGAAATCGCGCATAGCCAAAACGGGAACGACCTTCCCGAACTCGCTGAGGGATGGATACGGAAGACCCAGTCCTGGACAAAGACGGTGATGGTCGTAGACCTTGAATACCGCAACCCTGTCGAGCGCGCTTCGAATCCTACACTTCCGCGCAACGCCTGCTATAATCTCTACACCTACGCTGTAGTCGAGGAAGGCGGGGAGGAGGTTGCGACTGCAAACACCTTGGGCGACGATATAAAATTCTCTCCTGCTCCATCACCCGCGGACGACGCGTCCCTCATCATCCCCTTTTCACATTTCCTCCCACATGGAGTCCTCAACGCCGGGGACCCTAACCCGACCATCTCCGTCACGCACGACGAGCTCCGCGCCATCCTTAACAAGGCCGAGGAAACCCAGGCGGTTCGGGACGGGAGAAAGTGCAAGCCTGATGGTGCCAAGTCCCCACCTCCAATGCCCAAAAAGTGGCGCTCCACGAAACGAAAGCGAGAGGTTGACGAAAAGCGAGAGCCAGTCCCCCATCTGTCTAGTTCGTTTGAGTTCGATGAGGAAGACATCAATGAAGATGACGATGACAACAATGGACCGAGAGAGAAGCGCAGGCGCTGAGATAATTGGTAGCAAAAACGCACCAGCTTCTCTCGCCGCCCTCGCCTTCATCCTGGAGCTATGGCCAGCGACGAGGACTGCTGTTCTGTGATGGGTCGCAGCATTCGGAGGATACCCCGGACACGTCTATGCGTCGCTCGTAAGCGGGACAAGAACGGCAAGTGGCACTTCCGGCTCAAGCACCCGAGGCGTGGGTGCCGTGCTACGCGTTGATGCAGCGCCCCTATGCCGTGGAGGTGCGGCAAGGCGATTTCTGGGTAGATTCGAGACAGATAGGCCGGAGAAATAAGCATTTTTTGTTCGGTTAGTTGCTCCTTCTCTTATCTTGCTTATATCAGCCATACATCAGCCCTGCCTTCAATGTTCCGTTATCTTCATCCTACTTCCCTTTCTCAAATTTTGCGCTAGACAAGGTTTATAGTGGCGGGTGAAGTTATCCAGAGCATCACAGCAGCACGCCAAGGGGATTCATAGTCCTGTTATCCGAGCACGTTTCGGAAAGCCCCAGCCTACCTTTGACGTACTCTCGTAGCGCGGATTTGAAACTAAACCCCCTATGCCATTTGAACCAAATCGTCGAATTGTTGGCTACATCTGTGCTGCGACCGGAGTGGAATTTACCGCGTTCCGTTTGTGCCGCAGGGTTCTTGCACCCAGGTTCGGGACTCTTGCTGCTTTCCTTCCACCCGCCCGCCCACCATGTAGGAGGAGCGGTACCGTCCGTATCGCTCGACTATTGTGGCTTATTGGTCTTGGGTGTTACGAGCTGTTCTCTTGACTGAGACCGAGACGTACCGCTGTACGGGGATGCAAGGGGTATGCTTCGGACACGGATTATTCAGTGACAAAGGGGTGGACGCAATGACACAATAAGTCGCAAAGTCGCAGTAGCAATTTATTGAATAAAGCAATAACTACGAGGAGCCGTAAGAAGCGAGCTTCTATCAATCCATGGGCAAATTAGTTGTAGTACAATTAATTTAATTGTGCCCCGTGCGTACTAAAAGACAGGGAAACGATTAATTTAAAAACTTTAACAAATTAGTTATACTCAAGAACATCGTCTAATCGTCGTGTAACTAAAACGCTAGGTGTATCTCGCCTAGCTATATCTATTACTACTCTTAGATCTAGAATTAGCCTACGTTATTAATAGAAAATATAAATAGAAGAGCTAGAAGTTATATTTATAGAATTAAGCTATATATCTATAAGTAAGGCGCTACGTATATACTACTATACTATAACTATAATATTAACTTAGAAATATTATAGGTTTACGTAGTAATATATAAAAAGCTACTATAATAAACTAATTTAATACTATTTTTAAGTATATACTAGCGTAGCGTATTATTATATATAAGATCTACTACTAGAGTATTTTAAAGACGTAGATACGTACTTATTTAGATAGCTACTATAAGAAATTAATAGTAAAGACCTATAAGAACGTTATATTAGCTACTAGAAGCTTCTAGTAATAGACTAAGACTAAAGATAAAGTTATATTTCTAGCGTCTAGAAGTTTATCTATTAACTATTTAGATATATATTAAGATAGATTAAAATATATATAATATAACTATATCTAGCGTATATTATCTAATATATAGAAGTATTACTATAAAGAATATATATAGAAGAATAGTAGAAGAAAAAGCTATCTATACTAAAGTTAATAGTAAGTAGTATAGACTATATAAAAAGAAAGTATATAGTACTAGAAGTTCTAGCCTAGCTAGATATTAGTATAGTTATTTTAGATCTATCTATCTACTATCTAGCTATAGTAAGATAATAAGAACTATAATATCTAGAATACTATAGAATTATTATTATTCTAGACTACTACTAGATTAGAAGTAGTAGAGAAGTAGAAGTAGACCTAGATTAAAGCTAACGTAAATTAATTTAAATTTAATACGTAGTTAGACTAAGCTAGATAGACGCGCTATTTAGAAAGATTAAATTATAAGTAGTTACTAATATTAATCTATAAGTCTAAGTAGTAGAAAAAGATACTAGATAATATATATTAGACTATATAGATAGTAATATAGAAGGCGTAGTAGATATTATAGTTTAGTATAGTTAGTATAGTAGCTATAAATTATATTAACTAGTATAAAAGTAGTAATAATATAAATAAGTAGCTATTTAATACCTACTAGACTAAGAAGATAATAATTAAGTATAGTAAGTAGTAGATTAATATTATTTAGTATATTTAGCGTACCTACGCGTTATCTATAGCTAAACTAAAGTAGAGAAAAGAGCTAGTAAAAGAGAAGTAGCTACTATACTATTTAAATATATAGTAGAATATATTATTAAAGAAGATTTAGAATATTATAAACTAGAATAACTAGAATAAAAAAAAGAACTAGTTTAATAAACTTAATAAAGAAGAGAGTAACTATAATATAGAAATAGAGAATAAAAAGAAGTTAGAAGAGTTAGTATTAGTATTTATATTAGTATTATTAGACTATATATTAGAGAATAATAAGTATATAAATACGTTAATAAGTAGTATAATAGTATTAGATATTAATATGTAGTATAGATAGATAAGTCTATTAATATATACGCCTAAGTAGACTACTATAGTTAATATATTACGTATATTAGTATTATACTAGTCTACCTAGTTATATACTACTTATATAGCTAAGTTAAAAGATAAAAAGTAGAGCTACTAAGATACTACTAATATAGTATCTAGCTATTTCTATTTTATATAGAATATAGCTTACTAGTTTATAATATTAACTTAGTATAGTAATAAGTCTATACTAATTAATACTATCTAGTAGTTAAAAGTATATAGAATAAAAATCTAATTTACTACCTATATAGAGAGTATAGTTAATTAAGTTAATAATATATTATTATATAGTAATATTTAGTTTAGTATACTCTAGTTATAGTCTATAGTTTATAGGTTAGTAGCTAGTATATAGTAGTAGTTAATAGAGAAGTTAATATTATTATAGATTAATAATAAGAGTTATATTATTAAAAGAATAGTTAGATTACCTACTATTTATTAGAATAAGTTAGTAAATAATACTACTAGAAGAAAGATAAGATAGAGTTTTATAAATAATACCTATAATATAGCTACTATAGAGATAGATAACTTCTAAGTATAGTTAGATAGGTAGATTATAAAAGAAATACTATTAAAAAAAACGTTTATTAATATAATAGCTACCTAACTATTACTCTTAATAAAATAATACTATTCTTTTATTATTATAGCTTATCTATTAGCTAAAAAATTTCTTAGTATAAAAAATAATATTAGACTTTTAATATAGAACTTTTCTATAAAAACATAGATAAAAGTAAAAAAAAAAATTATAAATAATATTTATAAGAAAAATTTATTATAGAATATATAGTTATATTAATTTCTTTTTAAAAATAAAAGTAGTAGTAGAGGTATAAAAGTTATACTAGTTTTAGTAAAAGTAGTACGCGTAGGTTTTCTTACTAAAATTAAAGAGAGTTTACGCGTATATATTAAGTTTTCTTTATATATATACTAAGTATTCTTTAAATAGTTCTAGAACTAGTAGAGCTAAAACTATATCTTAATTTCTAGATAAAAGTCTACCTAGAAATAATTTCTCTTAAAATAAATTTTAGTATAAAGGTTACGTATTAATTTTAGAAAGAGTAGTATATACGCGTAGGTTTTACATATACTAAATACTTCTAGAACTAGTAGATCTAGAACTATAGAGTTTTATTCTATTCTATCTAGCTAAAATAGCTTATATAGTATATACTCTAAAAAAGAATACTAGTCTATAGAGAATAATAGTATACTCTCTATATTCTCTCTTTTATTCTTACTATCTACTACCTCTTCTACCTACTAAGTAGCTACTATACCTATCTTAATACGTAATCTATCTTACTCTACTATTAAGCTACTCTTAATATACTCTATTTCTAGCTAGGTATTAATATTTTAACTAGTCTTTACTATATCTAGATTTACTTACTATATAACCTCTTTAAGCTAGATCTACTACTTAGCTATCTAAAGCGTTTACTCTACCTAGATAGTACTAATTATATTATAGAGTATAAGATAAAGACTACTCTAGCTAAGTACTTATATAGCTTAATACTAGTAGCTTATCTACTTTAAGCGCTAATTAAATCTATCTATAAAGACTTCTTCTAGTAGTATCTACTATAGCGCTTTTTTTACCTCTATACGTACGTAGCCTTTTCTACTATAGTAGCCTCTTTATAATATTTCTACGCTATCTAGATCTTCTAGCTCTTTAACCTTATTTACGTACTTTTTTATAAGAAATACTATTACCTAGTAATACTAAATATAAATAGTAGCTAGCTATCTCTTATAGTATAAGACTATATTCTAAAAATAAGAAAATAGCACGCGTTTATAGTCTCTTAGTATTAATAGAATACTAGATACCTATAGTACTAGTATAGAGCTCTATATACCTAGAAAGAGACTACTATAGATACGCTAGCTCTATAAGAAAGAATAGGTATATACTAGAGTAGTTTTATTCTCTAGTGTTTATATCTTTTTTACTATAGCTAGCGCTATACTATATAGTATTCTAGCTAACTTATAGAAGTTACTTAAATTACTAACTAATTACTAAAAAATCTAGGCTATAGTTAGCTTATTAGAGGGTATAATAGAGGTATAGGTAGATACCTTAGTTTAAGGCGCTCTAGATACTAGCGTAATAAGGTCTAAAGTACTCTATCTCTTTTTTATAGCCTCTATCTACTTCTTCTAGTAGGTTTACTCTATAAGATAGTTCTTATTTATAACTATATATACTAGAGTTATATTTCTATTTCTCTCTTCTACGCTACCTTCTTCTATTCTTATATACTTTATAGAGCCTTCGTCTTCTAAAAGAGTTATAGATAATATAGTACACTACTACTTATACTATAAGGTAGAGAGTATTAGCTTATTAGGTAGAGTATATACGTCTAAGTTTATAGTAGTAGTA